TATATAATCTGCGTGGTTAGTTTGAACCAGATCATGAAGACGAAAGTGCTCAATACACACGTAGAGCAATATGAATACCTTTAAGTAAGTAATCAAAGACCACTAGGTTACAGATTCAGAGCCGAGCACCTGGTGATGGAGGCTGTGCCCTCATGAAACAGTCTGTAGTGCAAAATAAAATGTTGAGTTTGTAACCTAGTGTCTTTGATTAATTTAAATTATTTTAATAAGTGTTGTCTCAATGAAATATTTTGTTAAGGCGTCTGCATAGACAGCAGAAGCTCCCGGATTTCGAATGACGATAATTCTAAACTTTTCAGAAATTATTTCCAATTTAAATTAATTAAACCTTGATGAATATGTTATAGTTTTTAATAAGCCCACTATTTTAATACTATTTTTGTTTCATTTTTAGTTATAAGTGGAACATCAGCACCAGGTCTACAGTGTCCATCTGATTATTGTAGAAACGGTGGATCGTGTAGTATTATAAATAATGTCTATGTTTGCGCTTGTCCAATGGGCTTCGAAGGAGTTCTTTGTCACCAAGGTGTGTACTAACGACGTTCTTGTTATTCTGCATTATCCTATTGATAATATAGAAAGTTCTCACTTTCCGCCAGTTTATATTTACCCAAAACATTTGTATCCACTCAGAAATATAAACAATTTGTCAATGTAATTAATTTTACAGAACAAGACAATTTGGAACCACTGCTAGCTATATTACATTTCCCTGGCTATAGTAGGCTAAATAGTTCTAAACACGTTCTAACAAATTATTAATGGTGCCTCTTTTTGCCGAGCGGACAGGGCAACAAAATATTTTTCAATATCCCTGCTGATTTAGTCTCTGACTACTAATTGTTAGTTTTTGAGGATAAGCAACATAATAATAGTGTGGCTTTAATAGAAGTGTTCCCTGAATAGTGGTAGGCTGTAGTGTTAAAAGATATAGGTCTACTTCCCCTCATTTTGTGGCCGAAATAGTGTCCTCATAATAGGAGTGTGCCAAAAAAAAATAAAATAAATTACTCTCTTCAGAAATATGTACTAAGTCGTGTCTGAATGGCGGTGTATGTAGTATTGTTGGTGGTGACTCTAAATGCTTTTGTGGAGAAGGCTACACCGGAGAATATTGTCAAAACGGTAAGCTAATATCACAATGCCGATTACAGTAGTTCCAGGCCAAAATTTAATTCTTTAACAATATGTTTTACATATACGCAACACTGTATTTTACTGGTTTCGATGTACAGGCCTAGTCTAAACTTTAACAAGACAATAAACATTAGAATGTACGTGCTCCAGACGACCTTTTATACTAATGTAGGATTACGACCTTTATTCTTTGGTTATCTAATTGAATAACTACAGTATGTACTTTTTTAGGCATTAGGACATTTTTTAGGTAACTCCGACATGTTGTGTGATCTTTGTCACTTTTGTCTCTCCTAACCTGTTTTATTAAATAAAATAAATAAAATGGAATATTGAATACTGTATTTCACTGAAAACGTGTAAAAACAATTTTTATTTGCAGAACTGTGCCCAACTAATTACTGTAAAAATGGCGGTACTTGTTTCACTTCTGGAATTGTACACAAATGCACGTGTACGGCTGGCTACGAAGGAGATACATGCGACATGAGTAAGCCCTGTGTATTTGTTGATTATCATGAAAGAGGCATGATCAATCCAATAAATGTGGCAAAGACAAGCCAAACCAGTCACTCATCGAAAATCCTGTTTTAGAGATAATGACCAACACATGTTGGAATGTCAAATTTTTTTCAATCAATTCTATTGCACTAAACTAAAATCTATTGCACTATATCTATACATCATGCTATGCTCTTATTTTTTTTACATTTTCAATGTTAAAACAACAATTTTTAACAATTTGGTGAATGATTTCTGTCTGAGAAATGCCCGAAATCATAAACTCTAAAAAGGCTGATTTCTCAAATATTGTTCTCTTTAAACAACTGTACGTGTGTTTAAACTCCTGTAACTTCATAACGAAATGTCCGATTTAAATGATTCTTTTAGCATTTTATAGCCCTCATTACAATTTTAACTCTGATAACTAAATTATTAATGTTTGTGACGAGTGGCTGGTTTGGCTTGTTTTTGCACAAATGATTATTTAGGACTCTCGATGCCAGATCAGGGCTCATTATGAAACTTGGGACGTGGTGTTTGTCGTATTAAAATCATTTTAATTAAATCTACCAGTATTTATATCGTGACCTTAGGATTGGAAAGTGAGCATCGTTACCATCGCAACAGCAACAATATTTATATTTTTTGTGAATCACACATCATGAGCTTCTCATGTGTTTGGCCTTAGCTATTGACAATTATCTACCATATCATTGTTACCACGTAGATACTCTGTTGTAAGCTAAAATGATTTAGAAATTTGTTTCCATGTGTGAATTGCTGAATTTGCGTACATTAAAGTTAATTGCTGATAAACAATAAAATTAAATTAAATTTTAAAAATTGAAAAAAATAAACAAATAAATAAACATATAAATAAAAATGAAAAAATCAATATCTGAAAATCAGCTAAAATTTACTTTTTCCCGGTCTGTTTCTGGTTGGAAGTTAATGACTTATTTTTCTGTTAAATTAACTATTTTACTATTTAACATTTTAATTAAATTCTTTGAGATTTTTCCAATATATTTTAGAAGACAGTGTAGGGCTACCAGGTCCTACTTTTTTTTCAGAAAGTCCTTAAATAAAATGGAGAAACAAAGACAATTATATTCAAATTTAAGTTTGCGAGAGTGAGTGCTATTTTCGGCCATCTAGACCTTCCATCCAGGGAGGTAAGTTTATATACCTCCCTGTTCCATCTTTGAAAGTCCCTTTATTTCGAATTCCTCCGCCACTGCAGGTCTCCCGAATTTACAATTTGGGACACCTGGATAGTACCGGTATATCTTTAATTTTGCCAGATTTATATCACGAACGTGAGTATCTTTACCGTCACACAACAGCTAGGCCTACATAATGCTCTTTTTTTTTCTTTTTTGCAAGTCGCATATCTTGAGCCTCTCATCTTTACTTTAAGCCTATCAAAAATCATCAGTGCCACCCCGTCGTGGCTATAGCAACACTAGTCTTAGACCGAATTCCTATTTCTGACTGGGTGTTATTGTCCTGATCAAATCCATAATCATAATGTCATCCAATCAGAATTTGATATCCACATAAAAAACCGTAATCTATCGAGGTTCACATTCTTGACGTCAGCTTAAAATTATTATTATTATTATTTTAGTGATCGACGAATGTGACGCTCAACCTTGTCGAAATGGTGGTACGTGTACCACTGACACGTTAGGCAGTATCACGTGTATATGCACATCCGGCTTCTCTGGTACTTTCTGTCAAATGGGTGAGTAAGATCTGAGCGACAAATTTATCACACATTGAGGCAATCCCAAGATTGAGTATTACACTGTATAGGCGCTATATGAATGCAACAAACTTCTTCCTCTCTAATATGCCCTGTCATAGTTGTTTCAATTGCGTATGACTATGTCAAAGGTCAAGGTGTATAAACAAATCATGTCTGCGATGTAGTGCCTGCATTTTGTAGAGTATATCAATTTAAAGTTTGTAAAATTTGGTTATAATATTCCGCTGTAATATAGCCTACCGTAAGATCAACAATTGTTACCGTATCTAATAAGCAACACATTACGACGATAGAAAGACGTTTCAGTGTTTATACCCTAACATTAAAAAAAATCGCAGAACGCTTTATCTACTGACAAACTTGCTGCCTGCAGTGCCACAAAGGGATGTCCTATTCTGCAAAAAAAATAAAAAATAAACGAGCACATTGCGTGCTGGCTTTTTGCTGTGCGGGCAGTTGGTAGGCCAATATGTGGAATCCTTCGCGCAAGGGCGAAGTGCGGCAAATACAGTACGCTACGGACATACAATTATCCAATATTATAATTTTCTTAAATATCAAGGCACCTGTCATAGTGATACCTGCAAAAATGGTGGGACATGTTCGGATGAAGGCGAAATTTCGTGCGACTGCACAGGAACTGGCTATGCTGGTATTGATTGCTCTGAAGGTACAACACTTTTGTTTATATTTTTATACATTTCTTTAATAAATATTAATTAAACAATCATAATATGAGGCTCTAATTATAATTATTGGCTATCAAGTATACATACTTTACGATCATATTTGTATATATTTTAATACTATTTATTTATTTATTTATTTTGTGTCGGCAGCACCCAAAAATAAAATCAATACATTGTCATATAATAGGCCTATTGGCTTATTAAGGCTAATAGTAATTACCGTGTGTACACTGAACCATAGCTATGTTTATGTTCTGGTTACATGCAATCAATCAAGTCAGTTAATCGCTCAATTGATTAGTCAATTAATCAATGGATAAATGACTAACCCAGTATTTATTTCAGTTATTGATCATTGTGCGGGCACGCCATGTGCTAATAATGGTGTTTGTACAAATTCGGAAACCGGTTTTACATGTATGTGTCAAAATGGATGGAGCGGTGTAACATGCCAAGATGCCTCAGGTAAAAGCCTATCAAAACTCACGTTTTATGTGTCAAATATTTGTGAATTGCCTATATCGGTATGTTCTCTACATTTTACAGATTTTCTTTGTCACAGTGTTTTCTTTTTTCTCCCAAAAATGTGTGCGCATGATGTGTCACTGTCTCACAATATAAAAAGAAATCGCCCTGCAATTCGAGATTTGGGGTGGTTTCGGGGTTTGGTCTACATTTACAGGGTTAGCTTTGTGTTAACAGATTGATTGTTACTTGGTTCTTTGAAAAAGTGGTCTCGAATTAGAAAGGTGCACTGTCAACAAATATCAGTCGCGGATCCAGATTTTTTTTTCCGGGTGGGGCGAGTTGCAGTCGAGGCTTAAGGTTCGAAGGGCGCCCAAACTGTGGTCGAGAGAGTAACTTTTTGGGGTACTCTCTTACCTATTGTACTGTAGACATATTGATTTTTTTTTGGCTGCTGCTGGGGTGGGGGGGGAGGGGGTGGCGAATGTACGACTATGTGTCAGCATTTTGTAAAGTTTATCAATTTAAAGGTTGTAAAGTTCAGTTACAAGGCCTAAAAAAATTGTTTGCCCTTCTTTTTAAAAAATGATAAAAATGGGCGAATGTTTTTTTTTTTTTTTAATATACTCATCAGATGGAATAAAAATAACCGACAGAGGCCTAGAATGGCAATATCTTACATCAGACAATAAACTTTAGACTAATTTGTAGGGCATCTGTCAAAAATAAGTTCACTCACATTTTTTTTTAATTTGTAAAGAAAAAAACTAAACAAACTTTGTTTTTAACGGAGTTATTTTTTTAGTGAGTTAGAGGCGGGTGGAAGAGGGCAAACAAAAATTTTTTTAAATATTGTTATGTGCGATCGGTGGAGATGCTGACACGTCCTTTCAAACATTTTGATTTCGGGACGGGGAAATATAAGCCTATATCGTCCATCAACTACATTTCAGTAGACTGGATACAATGACAGTTCACTCACCCACCTATCTGCCAACTATGATACTTTTTTAAGTTATATGAGAATATACCGTCGGGTGTCTATGAAACGAAGACCGAAGACCTGGAAAACGAAGACTTCAAATTATTTCTCAATCATCTCATTGAAAGTAGGCCCTATTTCAAAATCATCCTAAAAATATTGCCAATTGGAAGTCTTCGTTTTTCAGGTCTTCGTTCTTCGTTTTGTAAACACTCATATAGGGTGTCTATAAAACGAAGACCCTTGATAATTTCACACATAAAAGTTCAGATAATCTCGTCATTATTATTTTGTGATAGCCTGGTGTAGCATCATTAAAAAAAGATAAAAAAAATATGGGTCTTCGTTTTTCGTTTTGTAGATACCCATATAGGGTGTCCATAAAACGAAGTCACTTAAGTATTCCTTGATTTTCCTCATTATTTTATTCCGGTGAAATAATGAAATACTATAGGTACTTGGCAACTGTTTTATGATGAATTTGAAATACTTTTAATAAGATAATTAAGAAATAATTGGAGGTCTTCGTTTTGTTATGTCTTCGTTTTATAGACACAAATATAGGGTGTCCATAAAATGAAGACCCTTGAAAATTTACAGACTTCCAAAAAATGTTATAATTTTCAATTTTTATGATAGACTAGGGTATTAATTATCATCAAAATAAAAGAGAAAAAATAGGGGTCTTTGTTTTTTGGGTCTTCGGTGTTCATTTTATAGAACCATATACCGTCAGTATAACTTCTCTGTGTACCATGGTTCTCATAACGGGGTTAGACTACCTGCAAAAACAAAACAAAAAAAGAACAAAACAAAATACTACTCTAACTTCGAAACTATCCACGATGTTTCCCCAGGAGAAAAACTTTAACAAGGAAGAATTAACTTGTTTGTGACAAATGGTTAAAAAAAACGATTTATTAACACTATGTGTTTTTACCTTAGTTAATCACTGCATGTCAGATCCGTGTCAAAATGATGGAAGATGCTTTACAGAGATAGATCGATATTACTGTTTCTGTCCTGTTCCATGGTTTGGTGACAATTGTGAAATTAAAGGTAAGTATGCATGCGCTTTGAATAATGCGGTTCCAGAGTTAAAATTCATATTTTAAAATGTATTAATATTTACCACCTTATTAATTGTATAATATATCCCGGGTTGGACGCGCTAATGTGTGTTATTCTCAGCCAATTCTGTGAAAAATATTCTTTCTATTGTGCTTGGTGTGTTTCCTTATCAGATTTAACTGGCGTCCCATACTCTATTTCTGTTTTCGGGAATCGGTAGGCTACTCAACTTAATTCGCTCATTGACGGTGCTGTCCAAAAGGAGGAAAACTATAACAAGAGACTTGTGGCAAGAAAAATCTAGGCTCGGAAGGCTAGGCTATAGTGAAGAATGAGCATTGCAAATTTAGCAAGTCCACAATAAGTCGTGCTACTCACTCATATCACGCCGTGTTGAAGCATAAACAATTTACAAATTTCGGCAGCCCCGCCTTCAGGCCAGTGTCATTTATAATAGCCATAATATGAAAATGTATTTTATTGCTAAATGCCGACAACGTTAAATAACAATTTCTTTTCTATTACCAAAGGTTCCAATTTGAAAACAGCAATAACATGCATAACTAATACACCATTAAATTATGAAAGTAGGCCTGAATAATGCTTCTAAATACAATAAATTGAAAATACATCGGCGAATTCTGGGGAAAGTGTGAAGAATGACGCCTGAAAATCGTTGAAATGAAATGACTCTAGAGGCTTCATTTCCTCAATTTTTCGTACCCCAGCCCAGAACATGGATTCATGATAGCCCCTCCCCACCCCCAACCATCACCACTCCAAACAGACGTACGCTCTTCAATGACGTCTTTTAATATATTCTTTTGTAGGAGCGCTACCATGCGATTCGAACCCCTGTCAAAATGGTGGAACGTGTATCCCAATGGGAAACTCGGAATATTCATGCTCATGTACCAACGGATACAAGGACTTAAATTGTGACAATGATGGTAAAGTATTCTCTTACACGTAGGGCCTATCTTCACGTTCACGCTGGCAAAAATTATACAGCTTAGTTTACAATGTTCTAGAGGGATTCACACTCCTTTGACATGCGTAGTTGAACAGCACTAGTTCTTGATGCACCACAAATAACAGAGATAAATATGATAAAGCCCTCATCTTAAGCATTAACAAGATGGGTTCACCGAAATTATACTTTTTTAAATCATTCATAGCACAATAGATATATACTCTTACCTCCATGCAGTATGTTATAATTATACATAAATTTTAGACACTAAAGACGACATTCTGCGAGTGTGTAAACAACTAAACTCTCAACCGTATACTGTACATACATTTTTTTAAAATTATTTACTTTCTTTCTTAGTTTCACCAAACAGTGCAAAAAGTAGCACTCTTGATGACCTGCCTATTGACATCTGGTGGTTGGTGCTAATCGGTTTAATTGTCATTCTTCTCATCTTGTTCGTCATCGTAGCGTACTGTGTTTGTGGTCATGATAGCGACGACGACAGCCTCATAAAACCATCCGCTTAAAAGCTCACGTATTCGTATAACGTGAATCGACTAAATGACGCATTGATGATCAAGTACCGTACAAACAGCAGGGTTTGAAGCTCTGTCCACACTATTCTATGTGATAAATTTGGATGTTAGTGCCCACATATGGGCATGATGATGTCACATTACAAAGGCATATCACGTGATAGTGTGAACAGACCCTAAAGCTCTATTCACACTATCAAATATGCATGTTATGATGTCACCATGCCCATTGGCAATTCACACGTCATTTTAATAGTGTGGACATAGCTTTACTTGCTATATCAAGAAATGCAGAGTCCAGCTGTATACATACAACAGAGGTCGAAAACGATTTGCTGTCATTTTGAAAATATGAAGGTGGATGTAGCTTATGCAATATTGATTATAAACTCATATAAATGCTTAACAGAATTGTTTATTAGGCTTAATTAGTTTACATAATTAGCAGAGCATTCACAAAACTGTATATGATGCTTGTATGTGATGAGAATATTTCACTGGTCATGCCACAAATGAAATGTTTTCAGATCATTCACTGCTTATAATGGTGTTGAGCCTGTGTTGTATACACCCTTTTAAACTATGTGTATAGATTAGCTTGTAATAATTATGAGCTTGAAAAAAAAATTTAATTCAGTTATAGTCGGAAAATTTCTGGAGCCACCGCTGGTCATTCTATCTCGCCACCAAAGATCTTATAAACACGTTCTCCGCGATTTTCCGCGTGCAAATTCTGTAAGTGTACGGCGCCCTCTCTCTTTAGAACAATTAAGGAACAATTAACGTATTTGGGTAACAAAATTTGGCGTAACACGAACACTCCATTTAGGAACCATGGCAACGACTAGGACGCCCTCTCCCAAAAGTGATTACTTTTCTGTGCCAAAACGACCCTTCTATTGTTACGCGAAAATCGCTGAGAAAGCCATGTTGTGTTTATAAGATTTGCTTTGCTCGCCACTTTATCAATTGATTTTATAGGGGAAGAGGGCAGGCACCTTTTCATTACAATCTATTAGAAATATACAAAAAATGCGAAAAGCGCTCTGATCTTCATAAAGAATGTAAAGTGCTGTAATGTAGAATCTTATTGAAAGCGAATACGCAAAAAAAAAAATATTTACCACAAGAGGGCATACCATAGATAATGCATCATTATGTAAAGGGTGATATACTGTCGTCTTTATCATTGAGACGGCGAGAAATTGAGGAACTCAAGTGATGTTAATGATATTGCCTTAAAACTTTTCAGTTCAAATTATGTGCGATATAAACATCAACTCAACCTGGAATCCCTCAGTTTATATGTTATATAAATATCATAGTGATAACAATAACAATAATGCTTGTACTGTTTCTAAAAATATAGGTATTACGACCTACTTTCTTAAATATATTAAATTTAATTTAGCTTGAAGATCAGAAATGATAAAATTTATATTGTGTACATCTTTGATAAAAAAAAAAATCACATATTTTTATAGGTGTACTGTACGTTAAACATCAATAGAGTAAATGCTTGACAACGCTTAGTTATTAAAATTTTGATATAAAATGCGAGTTAAATATACTTTCTTTTTTACGAAGTCGTATATGAGTACGGTAGTAGCTTTATAAGATGCACGATTTGTATATTTATAGAAAATATAGCACCAAAGAATGATTTGTTTTTACAATAAAGGGTTTGGAAGAAGAAATTACTTGCCATCGTTTTAAGTTTAATGATGTACTGTGAGTCCAAGACAGGAAAATATCTTAAAATGTTAACAAGTTTTAAAGCTCATTTAAAAGAATCTAATAATTTATTAGCTTCCAATTTCGACAAGAAACAGATTGAAAAAGGTAGTTTTCATCGGTTTACATTTTACTACAAACGCCCTTAAATTGATTGCCAGCCAATTTCAGGATCTAAGCAAATGAATACAAGAAAGATGCTACCTCACTGTCCGAACATTGACGGAGGATTTTTTTTTTTTTTCATTCAAATTTTTTATTTGAAGTAGGCCGATAATTTACTTAAATATACAAATTAAGCAATTCAAATGTGGAATTAAAATTTTCATTTTCTTTTACTTCAAAATTTTACCTTGATATGCTTTCAAGCCCTTTCCAAATTATCACATTTAAAACTTATATGACATGTCACATCATGACAACATAGGCACATTACGACTACTGAATAACGGCATACAACAGTTTATTGTTACTTAGAGAACCATCTTTAATGATAATGGTGATGACTATGACAATGATGTTGATGAAATCAGTGGCGTATCTGGAGTCATGAAAACGCCCCCTCTGATACGCCTCTAGATGAAATCGATGAACGAATGACTACCGAAAAAATAAGCACAACATACAGAGAATTTGCATCATTGAAACCACAGTTTTTAATAGATACACATAACTGAAATTACACAAGTCATTCTAGAGTTATAGTACAAAACCAGCCATGCGAATTCTCATGTAGGGATGAATTCTATACCATTGTACCATTGCTCATTACTAAAGATTGAAGCCACGCATGTATTTGCATATTTTCCTTTTTATTTATTTATTTTTTTAATCAACATTGCTTTATTATTATGTCTGGGGTTGGATGTATGCTTTATAAGATATAAGACTCCCATGTGCTGATTAAATAAATGGACCAAAACTTCTAAAATCAGCATAAATTGCTGGAATCAGAAATTGCGTAAAAAAAAAAGTGCATTAAGATGCTATAACAAGGGAGATACCACATTTTTTTTTGTACAAGCCGAGCAAAAATTTAGTGGCTCTATAACATGTTTTAAGTCTCTGTTTTGCAGGTCTGAAGCGTTATGCAGTTTTATCAGGATGTACTTCACTGGAATTTATGATCCAATTTAAATCAATCTATGAATTTTAAAATTTTTACAAGATTCGGTGGGGCTTCATGTGTACAATACATCCATTTTGTGGGATTTTATCAAACCTGATGGTCACTGTTCGGTGGGATACAAAACGTTGATGTAATCCTCACCAGAAGATTTATGCACCCTAAATTAAGAACATAGCATCTTTATCACACATGAAACATGGACCCCCTTTTATTCCGAGACACATTGACCAAAGTAAACACTGTAGACCTGATGGCCATAGATAAGAAGATAAAAATAATAATAACATTAATAACAAGGCCTGATTGACCACAAATCGTTTAGAATGGAACCCATGTCAACATGGGTATTAAAATATGAACTACATTATCTACAAATCATCATTATTAATATTACTAGTCCACACACTTTTCTTTCTATAGCCTACATACAGATAACGTTTGTGAAAATTTGTCCTTTTGATTCCTATAATAAACATTAAAAACATTTTTTATCTCCCAAAATGTCTTGTAAAGTTTTGTTAAACACTCTGAGGACATTGAATCCGATTTTAAAACTCTATTAACGAACGACATCTATTTGATATCACAACATTTTATATAATTCTGATAAAATATTTCTTTTAAACAATCAAAGTCATTATGTTATTGGTCATAATTTTATTTCCAAGATATTTAGTATCTCTCATATTGATTTGATAAAAAAAATAAAGTCTGTAGTACATTATGTTCAATACATGTACATGGTAGCCCAAGGCTTGAATGATCAAATAAGACACAACGTGACCTGAATCACCAAATATGGTCATAGGTCAAATATATATATATTATTTAAATATTCAAATTTCAAAGGTCTGCCTACATGTTGGTGTAGTCAAATGACCCAAGTACATCAGTAAATTGAAATACTGCTTACCATATATAATTACCACTTTAAAAATATTGAGTCACCTGATAATTAAGTTATGAAAGCAGACCTGTCCATATTCGTTTTAACATCCATGGACAGAGAAACCAACAGACTACATATTCTTAAGAAGCCATTTCAGGGCAAATACAAAATATGTTTCCAATTCGCCCTCTATGTTTTTGGCTGCTACCTTGTTATTTTTTGTCACAAGGTAATAATACATGCTAGGCAAAACAACCAAAACCTACATAAATGCAAGCATCTTTGTAAGCACTGATGAATAGTAGCACTGATGTATAGTTGCACCAGTGGCCTCAGCAATGGGGGTCTATGTCTGCCAAACCATCAAAATGAGAAACATATATTTATTTATTTGGCCTAACATCATAAACCATAAACCAACTTTATGACTGATAGTTTTATAAAAGGTAATAAATAGCAAGGGAAACTATCATCAAAGTGCTGCTTTATAACACTTGGAATAAAATCAGTATTTCTGCAGCCCTGATCAAATTGTTATACTGTAATTAATTATATAATGAATATATATATATATATATATATATATATATATATTTTTTATAATCTACTTTTTTCCTATCATTTCATCATAAAATATACTGCAAAAACATATTCAATAAATAATGGGGCAAAAGATATACATTTCGATTTCAAAAAGGATTTATAACTACAGGCCCTGTGTTATGATATATCCATCTACGGTCCACCATTTTGTCCAATATGAGGTCCCACATTGTTCATCAAATATAGCATTATATAACCTTTACTTTGAATTTGAATAAAGTTGGATTTTTAGCAAAAGAACTGTCTTATAAATATTGCCTAATACTGTAGTGAAATGCATGTCCAAATATGGGTTACAAATGACGTTATCAAAGGAAAACTGTTGTTTTTATTTATTAAAGAGGATGAGATTTTTACATTCATATGGTCTGTATGTTTAAACACTGAGGGCGCAATTGATTACATAATTTAAGTTTGAAATAATTTTAATGTCTGACACTTATTTTCACTGAATGTTTTAGCTGCTGCAAAAGTATCTACATTTCATAAATTACATAGTTCAATTGGAGGTAAATTATTTCTTTACTAGCTTTGAAGCAGACTACATGTTACAAATAAATATCAGATTTTTAACTTCATGAAATTATAATTTATAAATGTCATAATTAAAATCTCTTGAATGTATTAAACATCAGGACAATAATTTAAATTAAAACAATAGAACTAACAATTGGACACATATATAACAACTCCTAGACAATTTTGAATGTATGAATTGAATATTAATACTTTACACACCGGCATAGAATGGTTTTAGCCTGGTAGGTTATAGTAGAGAATACTAATTCTCTTTTCCAATGAAAACTTAATTGTATTTTTTTTTATTATAACCCACTTAGTGGAACAAAATTTACCTCCGTCGGGTGTGTATCCGAACTCACCCCCCCCCCCCAGCCTACCGCCCATGCTACAAACTTGTTTGGTGTAGTACACTTTAAAACAAACAGCAGAATTATTTCATCAGAACCAAATTTGAACTTTTCAGATGAATGCAGCCTAGCAGTACAAAATATTGTTAACTTTTTAAGCATTCACAATCTTTATCCTCTCCTTAAAGTTTCTTGTAAATGCAGTTAAAACAGCCAAATTTATTGAGACATTGCTAACACAATCTTCCATTTTTTATACAACAACACTACATATATACATGACATTGTGTGACATCTTTGTGTTCATTACAATCTACAGAAGTGGAATACCATCTGACACAGCGACCTTTCACTGACCAATAAGATAATCAGTGATTGTCATGAAAACAAAATGAACTCTGTGCCTAGCCTTGTCATAGCACGTCATCACTGTTTCCATGACAACTTGGATTTGATAAACATTTTTTGAAACATTTCTGTTGAGAAACTTTCCTGAGCTGTAACTGATCTATCTTGCTTTACAATATCACTCTTTAGATTTTATACAGAATTTTACCTGTAAAAGAAAAAAAAAATTTAATAACACTTTAAAAATGGTTCTTTTATAAAACATTAAGACAAAAAATATTTATTAAACATAAAATTATAACAAAATAAATAATAATAATAATAATAGCATTAATAATAACAACATAATAACAATAGGAAATAAGAATAACAAAAATAAAAATAACATTATAACATAAATATAATAACAAATAGAAAAATAATAATTTAGTTTTCTATAACCAATAGTAGTAGTAGTATGATAGCAATAACAATAAAAATAGTAAAATAGTAACAATAATAATGACGACAGCAGCGGTGGCGACGACGACAATAATAATAATAATAACAATAATAATAAAAATAATAATAATAACAATAATAATTATAATGTATAAAATGTTTCACAGAACAGTGAATAAGAGATGTGCACTGAATAGTACATAAAATACTATTAAATTGTATATAAAAGTATATTGAATGTACAGACAAGCCATTACGTGTACATTTAAACGAAGGACTATGCAGTGTGGGCCAGAAAGGAAAGTTTCATTTTTCTGAGCATGTGCAGATTGTGCTTATCTGGCTCATTAGCATAACAATACCGCACATAAGGCTAATTCAAGCTAGACGGCTTAAACCAGCCAGCTTCCTATCCTGGTAAGAGTTATAAGTCCTTGTTTAAACACTACGTTAGTATATTAGTTTATTCATGCATGAAAAATGTTTTAAAAAATTGATTGATAGTAGAATACAAATGTACCTTTGTATATATGTATATATATATATGTATATATATATATATGTATATATATATATATATATATATATATAATACGACTTTATATGTATATAATACCTATCAAATAGTAGTAGATAAACAATGTAAATGTTGAAGTGGGTTACACCAAAGAACTACAAGAGCTCCTAATCTAGTAGTTTTAGTGAAGAAATGTGTCCTTCAAAAGACAAGTTTTGAGAGAATTCTATTCAAACTATAATAGGGCGCCCCCTATCTCGAGGTAGTACTTTCTGTGACGTTTCATTATGTGCACACAAAATGAGGGAAGTCGGACCTCTGCAGTTCTATTTTCTTTGGAGTAACCGATCATCAAAAACGTTAAATAGAAGTGTATACTTATTAGAAGATAAAAACCATACTTACTGTGTAGCTAAAAATGTTATATAGTGACATTTTACATAATGAATTGATGGTATAAATATAAAATAGAAAGCAAGCACAATGGGAAGTGAACAGTAACTTTACAAAAAGTATTAGCCAGATGTTAGCAAGATCAATTTGAGTTTGAATTGGCCTTTAGTATACTGCAACCAGTGTGAATGAGGAGTGTGCAATGGGTGTCATTTGGGACTGTTCCATGATGCATAGTGTCCTTCAGTGTTATATAAGTGTTTTTTGAGTGTTATGTAATTTGAGTGTTATTACTTGGCATTTTGATGTTTTTAAATATTCCTTTGTTCTCTGGTTTTATTTAGTACATTGGATGTGTGATATCATATCATGTTCTTTGGTATTTATTCGCTGCTGTATTTACCGGCCACTTCTGTGCACAAACTCTTACCATATCCCTTAATAAGGAAATGTAATAACTGTCTTGTGAGTTTTGTGTTCATTAATAGTGCTAGACCAAAATCCATCAAACACAACTTAAATAACAATGTAGAAGACTTACTATATGATCTAGTCCCCATTGCAGGCTCAAAAAAAGAAGAAAGATTACGTAGACAGTGGTATATTAAAAAGACAGTATTTAACAAATTAGAATTTATTACAAAAACCTTCATTGGTCATTATATAATGCAAGGCATTCCTCAGGAAAAAACCCCATTTAACATTTTGGAACTCATGAGTATTCATAATTTTTTTTTGTCTTAGATTAAACACACAGGGTTTATATTTTCATATGTGATTTTCAGAGGTTTTTAGTGTGGAAAAAGAAAATATGAGAAAATACTGAAATTTCTTAAACTATCCACAATAAATTCCAAATTTGGATTTCTTACATATGCCTAGATAATAGCCCTCCATAGTACTTTGTACAATAGAGACAATGGCTTCATTTGTCACAAATTCTGACCACTTCATAATGATTCAATACTTTTCTCTCCCCACTTAATCAACAACTCCATGTTCACAATTTCTTAAAATAACAAATATATCTGGTGCACAAATACAGTATTATTAATATTTTAATAGGAGAGAACATTTATCATCATTAAAAAAATGTGTACCTACTTTTGCTACAGTAAAACAAGAAGCACCGACATTTAACAGAGTCAGAGTTCATCTTTCGGTATAAAATCTTTATACTGTACATATCACTAATACATGAGTTTTACTGAACAAGTTACTAATAATAGTTGTGTCCCCATGACATATATAAACATGCAACAACAAAAATGAAAGGAAAAAAAAAAAATAATAACAATAACCTAAAATATTTGTCCAATTTCAATGTATTTTCTAGTGAACAAATTGACCAATCAAAAGGCACATTCTGGTCATGTGACACTTGACATACTTTCTTATGGTATTAATTAGAAAAGTGATATGCATGATATCCCAATATGCTTCAAGAATTATACTCATGCACATTCAAAGGAACATTTACCATTGTTACAGTGAGGGAACAGACCAGAGCATGCAAAACGCTTCTTTTTGGTTCAAATTTATGAAATTTAATCAAGGGTATTGTCAATAAGTCGACCAATCAAAGATTAATTAAAACATTTCATTAAAAATAAACAATCACTTTGAATCATAGATGTACACTATGTTTAAAGATTGACTTTATGTCCATAATTCCTATTGTATGACTTTATTAAAACATTTAAAAAAATGGAAAAATCTTTGTTTCTTTTTAAGATATAAAGCAATACGAAACATTTAAACAGTCTTACACTGAATTGTTAAAATGGTAGAGCCCACTACAATTTTATTTCATTTATCATCATCACAATAATGATTATGACTACACACATCTTGCCCAACATGGTGGGTATGCCAACAATAAATTTAAAATGTCAACATACTGTATGATTGACAACAAGGCAACCCCTCGGGTGTGTGCATATATAATAGACTTCTAATTTACAACACTCCCCTCGTTTTTTAAGACTGTTTACCTAGTGCTAAAACTATGACGGATAAAGACAACATACAACGGATACAAGAAACTGTCAATGAAAAAATGTAACTATATTCTATAACAGGTATAAACTACAAATTTGAGACAAAATTTCTAGAAATTATTTTAGCAAAGTGACACCTGCAATTTGTCCATGTATGCAAATGAGATCAATACGAAGACAATACCACGACCATCTGTTTCTAGGTATTGTTTACATCATGATAAAGCGGGTATACAGACATGAAATGTTAGAAAGAAAAGAAAAGAACCAGCAAGATGCATTATCGGCGGAAAAACTACCAAAGAGTGCAGTGGTACGCTCAACCGATCACAACAGTTGTTATTAGGAGACAAATGCCAACAGTTAGTATATGACGTTAGAAACACGTCCGAAGACGATGCAAAGAGAGTTTAACACAACTCTCTTATGCACACAAAGCAAAAGAGGAAACTAGATATACTTCATTTATATCCATGAAATAGAAAGGAGAATTAAAGCAAATTAAAAATAAATAACAATAATAATAATATTTATAGCAGTAATAATATAAAAACATTTGTAGTTCATTCACATTTAAACCGGAAACTCACTTTTTCGCTATCAGATCTTGTCATTTAATTTTGACTTTCAGGGATCCATAAAATCTGTAAAATGATTAGCAACGACGGTTCAGTTGCTTGGCAAACCAGAGCAATGTCTCATCATTTTCACTGAATCATATGACAAACCTCAGTCTCATTCTAACCTACTTGCGGGAACGTACGTTAGTGCAGGAAAAAAAATTGGATTGGGGGTTTTTTTATGGTTGAATAATTTGATAAAACTATATAATTTTTACTGAATCTAAAATGATTTAATAAATAAAGGAATCTAGACTATTAAATACCTTAAACCTGTTTCCAAAGAAATAGAAAGAATATATAACTAGTGTGCCCATTACAAGAAAATAAAGACTAGAAAAAATTATAACAAATGTCACCAAAGGACACAAAGCTATCTATTTTTAAAGTGCCGCCAGAATAGCAAAGAATTTTAATAAAAATAAATTAGTTTTGGAAATTATACATGTCATTATGCTACTAAATATCGGTAGCATGAAAATAGCAGAAATGATTCCAATGATGAGTGAAAAATGGCAACATTGTCAACACTTTTGCTAATTATAATGATGATAAATTTAATAATACAGTAAATCTGTATCAACAATTGCTTAAAAACAATGAGATTGATAAAATGAACCACACAAATATATGAATACATTTTTGAAGAAAAAAAAAAGAACACCCCTCTAAGATTATTCATGATATTGCTTTTAAAATAAGGGTAATATTGAAAACAATTGCTTTCAATTTAGTTAAGCAGTTAGAAGGCGAATAAGGTGAATGCTAACTAGATGCATAAAAAAAAAAAAAATTTTGAATATTCATAAATTGTTATGAATAAACATTTCGCAACCATCGGATGAATGGCTGGATTAGTTTGCAGGTTAATTATGCATTCAAAGCATTAATGGATATGCATTAGCACTGTTTTAGGTGAGGGCGTAGTTAGTGACCGTTGCTGTTGCTTCGGCCAAGAGTGGCATGCTTTAACATGTCCGAGGACGAACCTTGGGCAGCAAACATCTTTGGACCCTTCCGAAGCATTCGCTGGGCTCCTTCAAATGCCTCACGGATTTCTTTGATCCATTGCACAAACTCAGGATCACTCTATGGAGACAAAATGAGGTCAATAATGCTTTGTGATGACTATCAAATTTGATGTGACGCGCCTATATATAGGCATGATGATGTCATAATACACCCAAATATGGGCATATCACATTTAAAGTCAGGCTCCGGAGGAAAACATTTTTTTGATATGTTGTAGAACTGATTTTTCTAAGACAGAAAAAAGCAGTTTGATCAAAAACTGAGCAACGGTGAAAGAGACACAGATTTTTGAATATTTAAAAACTGGGGGAAAAGGTGTAAAAATGGGCGTTTACGCCCCCCCCTGTAAAAATATACTTTTTCCCCCAGTTTTTATATATTCAAAAATCTGTATCTTGTTCACCGTTCCCCAGGTTTTCTGGAGCCTGACCTTAAAGGAAACAAACAATTCTCCTATGTAGAACAATTACAAGACTATCTCACATAAAACAAATCAAAGTTAGTGGTCTTTTACTTAATCAGTATACAAAATGTAAATGGGTCTGTTTTGGTGTTCAGTCTTAATAACATTATTGGTCCGATTGTTTTTTCTTCTTTTTTTTTGCTGGTGTATATTTGATTGGAGCTTAGCTCAAATTGAAGGGGAGAGAAAAGGCTAAGGATTACAAGGCAGTTAAGAATGATTAAATGGTTTTGTTTAGAATAAGTGATGGCTTGTATTATATCCTGAAGCTGGAATGAGCTTTCCCATAAATTGCCTCCCGTTAATATGCACAAGCGCAAGCTTGGGGACCTAGTGGTATGATGCCTGACTTGGGGTCATGGGTTCAATCAATTAGAAGGGAGCTTTCGATTTGTGCAACAACACAAGAACAGAATCCTACCAGACGACCTACGTTCTCTGCACACGCAGATTTGGCCAAATTGCATCCTAGTATCCACGCGACGATCAGAACTTAACGTTCTCACATGCGCTGATGAATTTTAGCGACGTCATTACATTCTACGTCCTACCGTCATCGTGTAATCGCAAGCTCCCAATTAATACCGTAGAACCCCTATTAAGGGGGCACCTTTGGGACCAAAAGTGTCCCCTTAATAGGGGTGCTGGCAGTAGTGTGAAGAAGATTTACTTTCCCCTGTCTTGTGGCTGAACAGTGTCCCCTAAATAGGTGTCCTCTAAATAGGGGTATCCCAAAGAAGGGCTTCTATTGTATTATGATTTCTTTGTATTTGTTTGTGGAACCTACCTCTGCCCTTAATATACATTTTTTGTCTTGTTTCAACTTTAACTGAATACATTTGAATGTCTTGATTTGGGCTTCATCTACAGCTAATATTTGATCCATTGTTAACACATTTTGCTGAAATAATAAAGGTAAATGAATTACTACCTCAAAATAAACAATTTATGAACAATAATAATAATAATAATAATAATAATAATTCATTTTATCACAATCATTATCTTAATATTTCATCTATTACCAAAATCCTATTTTAGAATATTGTTGAAATCAATTGAGGATTTTTGCATAACATAGTTGTAGTTAAAAAAAATAATGTAATTAATACTAATTATTTAATCAGAAAAATTATACTTAATATAAAAATAAGAATAAAAATAGTAGCAATATCAAAATATTTTATAAATAGAAAGAGAGCTTTAAATTACTGTAGTCTTATATAACAATATCGATATTAAATCAAAATAACATCAATAAACAAAAAAATATTAAACACAAATAATAACAATATATTATATTACAGTTGTATGAACTCTACTTGATTAATTTACTACAGTTAATCATCTTCAAACCCCTATTCAGCCTATTAAAGCTTATTTGACAAAAACATGAGAAGCTTAATTATGGTTATGATGACATCACATCATACATAGGCACTTCCTCAGAAACCTATCTTAGTCCTGACTTTAATATAAGATGTACTTAACCTACTAAAAGTGCTAAGGGAATGTACTAATGATTTGTAATTATGCAATGGGAGTAATCATCGTTAAGGGGATGTTACTAATGACTTGTAATTATGCAAAGAGAGTAATCCAATAACATCACTCAGATATCAACAAAAAGAGTTATTGTTTGATGCTTGTGTATAGCTTTTGCGATTAGTGACTGGTATATTTTTATTTGACAAATTTTAATCATTAGCTGGAAATTTAATAACACTTTACTTTCTAACTTGTGATATCTAGACACACAAGTTCATCTACACCATTTACCATTACGGTTGATTTATATATAACCTAATTCCTGGTTTTACATTTAGATGGAAGAAAGCTTTGTGCTACAAAATTCATAATCAAAATTTGTAAAATTTCATTCGTTAAAAAAAAACAAAAAACGATTAGAACGGTCACTAACAGGTTTACTAAACAAACAAATAAAAGCCAACCTATTAATCGTAAACAGAATACCAGTCAAAAGTGAGCCCATAATTGATTCAACAATTTGTTCTTAAACCTTCTACAGACTAACAAGTATTATTTGACAAAAACATGTGACATGCCCAAATATGGTCATGAGTCATGATAACGTCACATCATGTCCATATATAGGCACAGCATGACTATATTTAGGTAGTTTTTTGACAAAAATTTTATGGTTTGGATAGCCTAAAAATGGCCTCAAAATTTTCAATTTTTGGAGATTCAATGCTCATAATCAAATTATTAAACACACAGACATAATATAAATAAATATATGAACCTGTCTCTTATACACATCTAGATGTGTATAAGAGACAGTATATATATCATGGTGTTTATAATTATATACTATGCAATTATAGTCAAGTTACACTAAAAAAAAAAGAAACCGAAAAAAATGCCTAAAACCCCACAAAGCTGAAGATAATTTTCGAAGGAAATAATGACTCACTGCATCGTACAACCGCCGTACGACCAACAAATTCAACTGTGCTCCCAGCAAATATTAGACGAAAAGACACCTTTTTGGTGATTGTCAGTGGCAGTCTGGACTGCCACCGATAATGCGCGTGCATTGTGGTGTTGCGTTCTCCATGGAAACGCGTCGACTTACGCATGTCAGTGCCTGGCTTATAAGGCTTCTATTTCCAATAGTGTCCAAAATAACTAGACAATAACGACTTTATAAGCACTTGTTTTATATATATACATATTTTTATCACACTACGGTACTGGTTGCAGAACTGTACCAGTTGCTTATAGTGATATGATCAATACATACATTAGCTATACGTCTGCATATGAGAATGGTTCTCTAGCATTTAATGAATTATAATACGAATTAACTTTAAACATCATAATATATAATTTTCACAAGATAAATAGTTATTAAACTATTTCCTACTAACATCATGCATTACTGACTAAACAGAACATATATATAAAATTGGGTGGACATGAAATGATATATTGCATATAATGAGATAATGAGGAAGGATGCCAAAGTAGTTTCTAAACAATATTCCTAATTTCTACAACAAATTACAAACACTGAAAAAAGCAAGCACAACAATAGAAAAAAAAATAGTAATGCTTCACCAAGGCAGTTTTTAATATCTGCGGTGAGAGCACTCTTTGGAAGTGTGGACAGAAATATATTTTTCTGGATACCTCATGGTTAAAAAATTACATAGAAGTTTCATTTCAAGAGGATAACATAGTAAATACCTCCATCACCAATACAATTTTAGAAGTGTTATTATCTACAACCAAGAGAAAGATGGAGAGATGTGCAGGTAGAGAAAAAAAAGATGATAGTTTGGAAAAGATTGGTAAAAAACACAACAGAGAAAGATGACATGATTTTCGGAGAGGCATATGCCTAAGAGTGGCATGTGTCAGGCTGTGACGCGGGGGATTTCACTTATATACCAGCATAAAATTTTACTGAAAGTTATCATGGATCATTTAGAAATACTTGTAGGCTACTGGTTCCCCATGGTGCTCCTGATGACAAGTGCACAACACACTGTACAACAACAGGCCTCAACTCTGCGGCTTGCGACTTTCCAGATTTTGCCAGCATTTGCAAACAAATTTACCGAAACAACCCTGCCGAAATGTGATGCTTTGAATCATACTAGAATTATCTGGGGGCTGGATTATTAGAATACATTACTTAAACGACCAAGCTGGCCTACCAAGTACACAGCTTCAGCCTGATGAGGTATATATAGCCGAAGTCTCAAAACATTTCTATTATCCGTTTCACCCAATCATGTTCTACCAAGTATGCAAAAGCATTCCCCAAAAATGCAGCGCCTTCTTGTATGAGAATATATGCTCTGGTTTAGTGGAAGTATTATAGGTGCTATCAAACTCCACATGCTTCTTTCAGTAGTGTATCACCCTCTACGAAATTGATCATCATGTGGTAAATTCAACCAAACCATGTGCTGATCTACTGTGTAATTATACAAGTGTGGACAAATATAGGGAATCTTAGATCTAGAATAGCAGTGTATAAGGTGGTATTAATCAATTATGCTGAAAACAAGCATATTGTGTATCCCCTCTTCCATTTCAATACTCTTCGGTTCAAGTAACTGAACCGTAAGTCCGACGAATAAAAGTGTGACCACCACTTATTAAAAGGGAGGTGCCTGAAACTGTTGTGCATTCTTAAAAATACTTGCATGTCTTGCTCTTCTAACAAATTGCTACATTAGATGCAATTATTGGCTACAATATTATCCTACAAATGATTTGTATTTTTCATTCAATAGTATTATGATACATATACGGTAGTATACCAGGAGCTACAGTAACTAGCAGATACACCCAGCATGCAAATAGGTATATTCTTCACTATAATGTACAAATACAGCAAGAACACAAAACAGCACAACAAAGACATCCACTAGTGTAGTATATATACTTGGAAGTTACAACTACGAAGACAAGCAGGAAATGGGTGCAGGATCACAAGTATTCTACTTTTTTTTTAAAAACAGGTGTGCAAACTTATTCCACCGACTGAATCCTGGGACTTACTGCCGAGGCAACTGATTTCTCGCCGTCGCCCTGCCACTCCAGCCGGTTTGGGAACAGGTAGTAATACCCCTTGGACCAGGTGTTAATCAAACCACCCAAACGCAACAGATGTCCATGAATGATTGTATCCTTTCCACGAGCATAATCTGAGGAAAAGTAAGCATTACAGGTGTTAAACAACCGGTGTCGATTAGTATTAAAAAATTGGCGGTACTTACTGCGGACGTTACGTTCCTATCGTTGTCTCCTTGCCATTCTAGTCTATTGGGAAATAGAAAGAAATAACGCTTCTGCCAAGAATTCAGGAACTGTCCGCCTAATTTTGATAATTGACCATGTAAAAGACAATCTTTTCCTTGTGCATAGTCTGTTGTTGAGAAAAAGGAAGACTTGTTATTTTAAGTTCTCATCGCCGTCACTTGAATCCGGGGATAGATTCTAAATATTCTTCAGAGAGTTTGTGTTTTGGTTTTTCTGTAAACAACCAAAAAAATGAGAAACACTGCGATGCCTTTCTCATCTCATCTAAAAAAAAAATTGGTTCCATTGTTTAAAAATATTAAAAATAGTAAAATTATTGATCCATTCAATATCTCAAATATTATACCATCTTTGTTGCCTTTCCCTCTCTCTTCACCATCCTCCTCTCTCATTTCACAACCCCTTCCCTGAAACATTCGTAGAATTGAACACAGGAAATTTTGTACCAAAAGCAGAGTTTCTTCTCATAGACCTGCAATATTAGTTTTATCAGTATTTAACTCTACCGAAGTATAAATACTGTAGCACAGCCTTACATTATATATTCCATTAGCTTTGAAGAATTACTGCATATCTACCAAAGCATTCAAAGTAAATATCAGCAGTGACTTCCCTCTAACCAAGTTCAGCAAGTTAAGTTTTTAGGACTAATTTTATGGGCAAAAAAATGCCATTGCAAGTACAGTAAGACAATTTCATCCTTATCAAATATAAATGCGTCTCTATAATTTTGAGTTAGCTAGGATTGGGCAACACTAAGACTTTTTTATGTCCTAATCAATTAAATGATGACGAAAAGTTTAGAAAGTTGGCCAGCACGGGAAGTAAATGGAAATATATTGTACAACGGATAAGCAAGGCAGCCCAGGTGGAGAGATGATTAAGCCTGTTTTTCACTTGCGAATTTATTCACACAAGACGAAAGCATTGGTGCATGCATGCACATATTCACATTTCTGTCAGAGTTTTTGCTTCAGAAAAATTAGTAATTTGAAATGTTTCTACTTTTTCTGATGCGAAAAAAGTGCGCAACCAATCAGAGCTCAGGAACCGAAACGGATGCCTTAAATTCTTGCGAATGAAATTCGAATAGTGAAAACCGGTTTTACTCGGATAAAGATTCCATTTGTCGTGTCATACCTCCTTCATCCATTTTCTTGGCCTTTTTCTTTGCTTCAGCTCGGTCGGCATCGCTATTAATTGTTTCAAAGACGGTCTCTGCTATTTCCTGCTGCCATCTTTCCGAGATTGTAATGGGGAAATTCTTGTAGAGCTCCTGGTCGGAATCAGCAAGCTGATGAAAAAAAATATGTAATGCAGTGGAGTGAAGACTATGGAATGATATGACTGAGTGGTGTACAAACTTCTAATTAGCAACTTAAAGTAACATAGGCAGATTTAAGGGAGTGGGAAAGCTGGCCTGCCATCTCCAACTCCCTAATTTTTTTAAATTTGAAAAGCAAATGGGTTGCTAGGTGTTGGGGAAGGGGGGGGGGGGGGAAGAAATAAAATTACAATCAAATTGAAGTCTGAGAGTGCGATTTCCAGTCCCCTAGAACTGCCATACACATACAATTTTGTACGAATCTCCAACCATGGTGGAGCTAGTGTGGTCTGAACCATTTAGATATAAAAATGGCTCCCTCTATTTTGAATTCCTGGATCTGCCACTGAATAAGATGGATATATCATCACATGCATATACCTAACATCTGGATTTTCAAGGCTATGCAAACTTGCATACCTATAGAGGGTGCTACACTTTGCAGAAATGATTATATTAAGGTTTGTATCATAATACAAAGAACAACATCCATTACTACAACAATCTCAAAATGTTAACAAATCGTCACCGTTTTCACGAAGAGACACAAACTTCAATTTCAACATTTTGAGAAAAACGCGTTTGAAGTGGACTACTTCACAAATCCGTAAATTTCACTATCAAGATAACGGAATTTTGAATATTTTTTACATATATTTAAAGACTAGAAATTGCAAATTGCAAACTGAAGTGCTGCGAAGTACAACTGCATAAAATTTTCTTCGAACAAAATTATTTATGCGAGTCAAGTGAAAATAATGAATAATAAAAATATAACAAATAATATGAGCACAACCCATTGTCTACATTAGAACAGCGTTGGTACCGTGTACAATAGTGTTTTGCTGCAGTGACATCTCTCTGCTGGCGACTCACTGCTGCTGGCGATGACTCGCTGCTGACGAATCGATCTGCGCATGTGTATAAAATGGTATTTATTTCCGAAAACACTATGCCAGTCTACAACAAGCGTCGCCTAAATGTAATACTTAGCACGTTGAAATAGGCTAGTATTTTAACTGGGTTTGTAAATAATATTGGCCTCAAAATATTGTGGCTGAGACATGAGCCGATTAAACGTAGAAATAGGAAACCTAGAAATATAGTAAAAACGCTGAATAGTACTCCAGCGTCACGACATGCCAACGTTGGTACGAGTAGGTTAGTCTACAAACGTCGCCTAAAGTAATTGATTTTACCCAGCAGAACGGAAGAAGGAAACTCCGCCTTTCAGTTGTCTTAGGCGATTGTTTTTTACAAACAATGACCTTTCAGAGGTCAAATTGTTGTCAAGAATATGAATTGGCTGCTTCGCAGCAATAAAGCATTAAACAATCCAAATGTGTAATTTATTTTTCTTTCTTAACTTTAATCAACCTGTTAATTAACGTGAAAAGTTTGTGTTTGTTCGTGAAAACAATCAGAATAAACACAGCATATGTTGTTTACACGTAGAGTGAAGTTTGTGTCTCTTTGTGAAAACAGTACGCACTGTACGCACACCTGTTGTTAAGGCACAAAATGTATTTTAGCTATGTGTTAACCATTGTAGTCAAGGGCGAAAACAGGCCTACAATCTCAGCTTATCCTGCTTTAATCATTATGTTTTTATGAATAATTCCACATTTGATGCACGTGTATAGACCTATCCCAAGTTATACTGCAAGAAGGGTACCGGTATGCCTAGGTAAGCCAGGGAAATCTAATTTTTACATCTAGCCCTAGCCAAGCTAGGCCTTACCTAGCGTTCACAACGATTGCAAAGCTGCACGCGTGTCTTTTAATAACCCAATGAAAGTTTGTGTCTGTTCGTGAAAACGAAAAATCCATTTTTCTTGGTTTGTGCGCAACTAATTAGCTTAATTAGCTAATTAGTGTAGTTCCACTCTTAAAAATTAGATAAAAGGTAAAGTTTGATGTACATAATCAAAATGTCAAAGAAAAAAAAAATTTAAATATATGATTTTTGAAGTTTGTGTCACTTCGTGAAAACGGTGACGAAATATATGGAAACCATATATTATTAAGGGGACATGCGTTACCACACATAATCTGATGTATTCAAAATCAAGGTTGTTGTAGTACAAAATCTAATTGATCCAGAATTATAAATTTCATATTGGATATGTAAAAAAATCATCAAGTTATACAGAATACAAATTCAACTTATTATATGAAGTATTGAATATGCATGTGGAGAATATGAATAAACATGAAAAGTTAATTTCATAATTTGGCCATAGATGCTTTGTCATGGCATGCCTCAAGCATAGCTAAGAGAAATTTAAGTTTCCTTTACATTTTCAAACTAGAAATTGCAAATTGTAAGTGAAGTGCTGCGAAGTACAAATGCATATAAATGTTCTTAGAACAAAATTATTTATGCGAGTCAAGTGAAAATAATGAATAATAAAAATATAACAAATAATATGAGACACAACGCACTGTCTATTTGGGTAACAATTGAGTTGTAATTTTTCATTTTTGTCAAAGAGTGTCTATAGTGGTGAATTATGGTTTAGGTTTTTTTTTTAATAAAGTTTCATAAATTTCTATGTATGTGGAAAATGTAGTTGATTACCAAAGGTTACAATTTTTATTTTGAAGACTGCATGGTCTAGGAAGTGTACATTTTTTATGGGGCAAGTTTCCAAGGGTGGGTTTTCTAGGGGCAAGTTGACTGTCAAAGAGTGTTGCCAAAGTGCGAGCCAGCGTGTTATTTGATCACAAGTGCGAGAAATCGCAAGTGTGAGCCAGCGAGCCATGACGTCACGACAATAAATACGAGACGTTACTCGAGTTGCGCGAGGTATCAGCTGAGATTTGTGGAGTACAATTCAAAAAACAACTATACGTCTTATAATGAATTATTGTGATTATTGTGCTATCAAGGAGCGACGTCGTTTTTCATTGGGACCTTCGTCCCTTCAAGGCTAGACCTATACCATCCTAGCTAGTCTAGGCCTAGAGTAGGATAAGGATAGCGCGACATGCGGACGTTGGTACGTGTTGGTTAGTCTACAAACGTCGCCTAAAGTAATTGATTTTACCCAGCAGAACGAAAGAAGGAAACTCCGCTTTTCAGTCATCTTAGGCCCTTTCAGAGGTCAAATTGCTGTCAAGAATATGAATTGGCTGCTTCGCAGCAATAAACTAATCTGTTAATAATTACTGTGAGATGGGTCAATTTAAATTTAATAGTGGTACATGCAACATTTTGGCTGGCCCCATTAAAATGACCTCTGGTAACAATGAGTCAGCAACAAACTGATGGCCTCTGCTGATTGGTGCACAGAAGCACAGGTAACATGAGCCACATGGGGCCAGTGTTATGAGCCCCCCTGTTCCAAAACATACAGTGTGTCATTAATTTGAATGTCAATTCCAATTACTCAGCGAGTTGGCATGACTGCTGCTGCCAAGTTCATGGTAAATGGTTTAGATTTTTCATACAGTGCAGTACATTGTTCAAAACATTAAAGCAACATTTAGGCTCCTGTCAGACTATCAAATTTTATTTGACAAAAACATGTGACATGCCTAAATATGGTCATGATGACATCACATTTATATGTCCATACATTGGCATATCATGACCATATATGGGCATACAACTGTTTTGGTTTTTTTTGTAAAATAAAATTTGGTAATTTTACCAAGCACTGATTTATCATCTTGAGATTTGACCATCACACACTTTAATTAGGATGTTTTTCAGTGGCTATTGTTACACCAAATCAATACCTAATGTTGGTTCGTTGGATATGGTTGTATATATGGGTTGGATTATGTCAATAACATCCGATTAGAATAAAGAATTTATTTTAAACTGTTTTAACTATAGCCACTGTCTTTAAAAATAATGAAAGTACTGTAAAACCGGTAATTTTCGCGCACAGAGTCCCTTTCAACATATTCATGGGTTGTTGTTTTCGCGCTTCAGATTTTCCCTAATAGTAAATTTTCGGGGAAAAAAAAACGTTCACCGTAACATACAGTACATGACAGTATCCTAGTGTGTAGGCCTAGGGAAAAACAGCTAGGCTAGGCCTAGAAAAACAGCTAGGATAGGCCTATCAATGCTGTACAGTAAGACTTAGGCGAGGCTTGGCAAATATGCGTATGGTGGCTAGGTTAGGCCCAGTGTACTGTACTGTAATACCGTACATAGTAGAGCATATTTTTGTTGGTGTTAATATTTTCACGTGTTGTTGAATTTGCGCTAGCTTGTGCTGGCGCGAAGAGAGCAAAAATAAATGTACCGCGAAAATTACCAGTTTTACAGTAATAAAATAAAAATAACAAAAAATAATAATGAAATAGCTGCAGAAATCTTTGCCCCTTGGCTGAAGGCATAACCACATCTATTGTGATTGTATGTATGGACTGGATTAGGTCAATAACATCCAAATAGTATCTTACTTTGATTCCTTTAACATCTTCCTCATCGAATGATCCAATGTCAAACGCATCTGCTGCATTGACCTCACCCCGCGGTGGAACCAATGGCGGCGTGTACTAGAAAGAAATAAATAATGAAAAATATGATAAATGCAAAATAATTATCAACTCTTATCAGCATGATTAAACATACAGAAACAAAGAAATCTGAGAATATGACCTAGGAACACTGGACTGGTGAGTGGGGAACAGTGCACTGGAAGGGCATTATACATTTGAAACCGCCATGAAGTACAACACCAAACGTTAATAGTAACCATGTCAAAATAATTCCCCAAAAAATATAAAAGTTTTTATTGATTTTTTGTTTATGTGCCAGAAAGTATTTAAAAATAGACAACTTGATTGAAATATTCTGTTGCCAATACAGCAACAGGAAATTACAATATCACCGCAAAAGTCACCTACCAATTCTTACCCCCTTAATATTGGGTTAATATTTCCCCTTCACAGGAGACTTTGGCTTACATCAGATATAACCGCTTTAGAATGAGCAGAAAAACGCTGTCAAATTAAAAACTTAATCTATACAAACATACAATAAAGAAACATTTTTAATGCTTTAGATCTCAAATGTAAATAAATAAATAAATTTAAAGGCATTCACACATGCATGTTGCTTTCCTTGTTTTCTTATTTTCTTCGAAAAAAAAATTGCATATTGCATGCAAAGACCATTACACAGCATTGTACATAAATATAAAACTATGATCAACAAAATGTAAGTTATATAGAAATTTGCCACCATGCCCTGATAAAATGATATCAAACTTCATTAAACAAACAGTGATTATTATACCACAAAGTACAGACAACAATGTTACTACCATGGACCACCATAATCATACAATCAACCATAGACCACTATAGTAGAGTGGCTATAAGAAAATAACAGTAAACTTTTGGCAGAAAGCATGAAACTTCCAACAGGGTGCTATAACACCATACCTGTCAAAATTGAGAAATTCCAAAGAGTAAGATCGGGTGACAAATAATGAGTGCCGAAGGCACGAACAGTGGCTGGGGGCCAGGGGGCTCCCGGTCGAGGTCACTTTGGCTTACACAGCATTTCTAATCGATATTAGTGAGTTTATAATGATCTCAGATAATGATGATAATGATAATGATCAAGGATGTTAGTTATAGTAAAATTTATTACAAACTGAAAAAGAAACAAAACTGACTCAGATTTTAAGATAAGCGTAAGTTTTGCCGGTGTTTGGTAAGACCGCAAGATTTGACCGGAATGCATAAGACATACGGTGAATGCGTACGGGTTGACAGGTCTGTGACAACCAAGGATCATAAAAAAAAACAAAAAAAAAACCCCAAAATAACGTCGCCTAATGACCACTAAAAATTCAAAATGGCTACCAAAATATTTGATTTTCATCAATATTTTCATATCTACAGCACCTAGCACTGTCATTCAAAGGTCTTTACCCATGTATTACCACCATAACAAACTATAGACTACCACAATCATACAGCTAACCATGGACCACCATAATCGCACAACAAATCATGACCAGCATACAATAAGCCATGGACTACCACAACCCTACAATAAACCATGAACCACTACCAACATACCATGGACTACCATAATCAAACAGCAAACCATGGACCACTACCACCCTGTAACCATGCTATAACGAACCATGGACCACTACCAACATACCATGGACTCCCATCAAACAGCAAACCATAGACCACTACTACCCTTCAACCATGCTATAACAAACCATGGACCACTACCACTCTATAATCATGCTATAACGAACCATGGACCACTACCAACATACCATGTACTACCATAATCAAACAGCAAACCATGGACCACTACTACCCTACAACCATACTATAACAAACCATGGACCGCTACCAACATACCATGGACTACCATAATCGAACAGCAAACCATGGACAACTACCAACATAACATGATTACCATAACTGAAAAGCAAACCATGGACCACTACCACCCTCTAATCATGCTATAACAAACCATGGACAACTATCAAGATACCATGGACTACCATAATTGAACAGCAAACCATGGACAACTACCACCCTATATACTATAACAAACCATGGACCACTACCAACATAACATGGACTATCATAATCAAACAGCAAACCATGGACCACTACTACCCTATAACCATGCTATAATAAACCATGGACCATTACCAACATGCAATCAGCCATATAAGAAACCATAGACCACAAAAATCATAGAGAAAATCAAGGACTAATACCACCCTATATAATAAACTATGGACCACCACAATAAAAAACACATCATGGACCACTACCATCATACAACAAACTATGTGCAAGACAATCTAAATAACTGATTTTTTTGTATTTATCTTCAACCTTTCAACAGTTTAAACAAAGTGAAAGAATTCAACGTCACTTGGCGATAACACCTAATTTCTTTAGACATTCCTATACAAGACGTTGGTGGAGATAATTGAAATCGTGTTTGATAGCCGTGCCCAATGGCCAGTCATAGGATATCATAGGCTATGCACAGTCACACCAGTGTTTAATACGCTTAATTCTGAAATTAATTCCGGCACTTCAGTGCTAGTCCTCGGTGTCTGCGGTTTGTTAGTTGCTAACAGGCTGGTGGATGTTAGCACGTCCTTAACAGTTTTATGACAAGCTGGAGGAAGTCTTTCATTAACTCAGCCATACAAATCAAATTAACCAACCAAAGCATCTATCTGAAAGCATAAACTTCTGCGACTATGGGGATTAAAAGTAAACGGCATAAAAGTAAGCCTCGCCTAGTTGGTTCGTCGACCCTGGCTACTGCATATTCCAAGTTGGTGTTGCACTGTGAAAGGTACAAACATTAGGCCAGCTCCTTTTAACTTACATAATCATAGAAAATAAAGAACCTTGGTTACAAGTTATAACTAGTTCAATAACTAATACAAAACATATTAACACCACAATATACATGATTAAAAGTATACCCCTAAATTTTTTATCATACAATTAATGTTAATAAGTTATACTAATTTTACTAAACTAATATTATATGTGCATGATATATGCAAAAAAAAAAAATTGTAAAACTTTAAGGTGGTTAGCTTAAAAAGTATTCTACCAAATTCTACATGTGGATATCAAAATAAACTTTCCTCAGCTAGATATGCATTTTATATTTTAAAAAAAATCAGGAAAACTTAATTTTCTATATGAAAGTAATTCTAGAAAATCAAGGGTGTAATGCTAAACCAATTATGCTAAAAATAATTTTGAGCTTTTAATTGTCGATCAACATGCAACCGGTCGATCAAGAACACATCATCTATAATTGTTATTTATTTCTTGCAATCATGAGTTTGCTAAAAATTACAAACATCTTTAGAAAATTATAGGCTTTAATATGTCTGCATTTTAATTGTTTCAATATATATTATATCAAATTAAAAGTTTCTTTGTGATGGCCTCTCTGATCGTATAAATCAAGCGTTGTTGAATTGTCCGATAGATGAAGTTGTGAAAAATTAAGCAATTTAATAAAAGTTTTATTTAGCAAATAGTTTTGCAAAAAAACATCCAGAAGGATGGGAAATAAAAATATATTGGTGAATGCAAACAGTTTATTAATGGGAAGGTTAAATGCTTTAAATTTATATAATTAGGAAGAAATATACATATCTTATTTTTGGAGATTTCAAGGCAGCGGCAGGGGTAATAAAAAATAAAGTAAACTTTAAATTTTTTTCTGAAATTTACATTTTTCCGTGGCAGCTGGTGCGCTAATTGGCCAAAATGAAATATAATTTTTGTTCTAAATCAACATTAAATGTGAGCAGTGGGTTTGCTAAACAGGGTATAAAAAAAATCTTGCCTTAGTAGACGTTTATCTAGGCATATAGCCCACACTGCATAATAAACTAAATGTTCTGACGAAATCATTACCTTGGCAAAAATTGAAAAAATTAATATAAGACATAAAATAAGTGCAAAAAAATATGGTGACAATTTATAGGCCTGATAATTAAATAATAAAGAATATTGAAATAATATTTATTACTTATAATCATAATCATAATATCAAAGATTAATTATTAATCTAAAATAATTTAAACTTAAGTGTACATTATTACTTAATAATTACTATTAAATTATAACTATAAGTTATACTGATAGGAAATAATCATATTAAGGATCATTAATTATGTTAAGTATTTGTCATTATAGCATGGTATAATGGATGATAGGAAAGCTGAATCATAGGAACTGAACAGAAACAGTAGACTTCAAGGTCATCAGTTCTAACTTATCAGCTACAATTACTGTAATTGACTCAATGAGTGTCAACTACACCGAACGGGGGAAACAACTCATTATGTAGCAAATCCCCTGAATTTCCCCACGAGGGGTAAATCATGTCTCCAGGCACTTTGAGGCTTAAGATCACGCCAACGTTCACGATTCGCAGGTGCTAGGCTGTAGACAGCATTCCTAAAGACTGGGGGTAGGTAATTCCGCAGAATGGCAAATGGCAAAAACAATTTAATTTCTTTAAATTGAAATTCTCCAAATTCTCTACGGATACGTACTTAATTGTTTTTGGCGGCAATTGTAGAAAATTATTGATATATATATAAATCAAGGTAGCCGTTAACACTGTTAAATTATATACATAAATCATCAAAGAAAGGTAAATACAGTGTTCTAATAAAGAACACTGTATTTACCTTTCTTTGATGATATATGTATATAATTTAACAGTGTTAACGGCTATCTTGATTTTTATATATATATATTGTCATCACATTAACATATTTTTTATATTAGTATTGCCTGTGAATATTGATTTTTTTTCCCTTTTTGATGTAGTTTTGTATTGTACAGTGAATTTTAATATCTAAGATATTATGACCTAATACTGATAACCTGACAAAAAGGGGAATAAACTATAAGACGAATCTTCAACTGATTAAGTAAATCCTTGGCATTTGTATCTTGTTTGTCTGATTTTATGTGTTTCACCTTTTAAATGTTGTGTGTTGAAATTGAATAAATCAAATTAAATTAAAATATAATGAACAGAGTTGAAAAAAAATATATCTGACAAAAGAGTAAAACAAATTAAATTTAAAGAGAATAGTGAATAAACAATGAATATAAGAGTAAAACTAAAGAAAGGAAAACAATTTGTTGAAATTGAAAGTAGCTTGAAACTCCTGTATTCAATTACTCTCATGATTTAGTAATTAAAACTTCCACACTGTGAAATTAAAATACAATTTACATAACCAGAAAAATAACAAAATTCTATGATACCTGACCTTATACAATCATTAACGTCCTTCTGTCATTTCCTCGATGGGGTAAAATTTGCACTTTCATTTCCCAGCGCGTCAAATATTAAGTGTTTGTTCATATTTTTGCCCCCCTTCCATCAAAATATTTACCATCGGAGCTTACATGTTAGTCAAACAAGGGAACAAAAGAGTTGTTATTTCCTTGATGGTGAAGAGGTAACAATATTTTGATTTCGCCCTTGGCATCGGATCATAGAAAGCCCATGTGCTTTCCAAACTGCTGATTTCTGTAATCAGATTCCATATTCACCTATTTAACGGCTAAAGATATATATTACCATGTTTACAGCAGAAAACAGGTCGGGGTGAGACATGCATTGATATGGCAAAATTCTCAGCCCTCCCCCTCCCCCACTTTCAACCCTTCTACTACACCATTTATCACACTCTTCTTACTACAGTCTTGTGCAAGAATAACTTTGCGTCTGAATGCGTAGGGATTAAATCACACTCTTCTTACTACAGTCTTGTGCAAGAATAACTTTGCATCTGAATGCGTAGGGATTAAGAGTCTATCGGTATTATTATTTATACAGCATCTATATGTTGCTTAACCATTACTAGATTACCGTAATGGTAATGGTTAGAGACTTATATAGCACATAATACATGTTCTCTATGTGCTTCAGAGAAAACAAAAAAGTAAAATCTATTCAAAGCACAAATCTGGAGGCATAGTTGTAGTATAGGTAACTGCTACTTGCAGCCCCATTGAAATGGTGCCTTAAATTAAAAAATCATAATTTATTTATAATAGTACTGCATTATTTAAAAAAAAATTACAATAATATATGGCAAGCAACTTCCAACTTATTAATTAATATATTTATTTAAATTTATTGTTGTTGCACATTGAAATTGTGATCATCACAGCACTGTTGCAATGCCCTACCAACTGAGCTATATCAGAAAACACAAAAAACAAAAGGAAAAAAACCAGTAGGAATAAATGCCACAAAAATGAAGCAAAACATTCATAATAGGAATATTGTTAAAAGCATACAGGTTCTATCCCACACCCTGTTCCATACACCCACTAAATCATCCTACTCATCTATGGCTGTTCTCAATTATTAATTTATACTAGCACTTGTTTAATCTTATGGATTATTGTGAATGAACTCACTTTCTGATAGTAAACTTGGTTCCAATCGATTCCATCAAAGTATGGATGCTCACGTACTTCCTGTGCTCTAGAAATTAAAGTAAAATTAAATTATTGAACACTACACTTAAAAACTTAAAAGTCAATTAAATTTCAACCGCCTATAATAAAGTTAAAATTTGTGATCACGAACAATGTTGGCTCCAGAGGGATCTGAACTATGGGGCCAAGAGACCCTTGGTCAGGGTCCCAGAATATACTGTTCATGTGGACAGACTTTATGGTTTAGGATGACCCAAGATGGTGCTTTTATTAGACTACAATATACGAGGATACAAAGAAATGAGGCGCAAGCTTGGTGGTCTAGAGGTATGATGCCAGGCTAGTGATCTGGAGATCGTGAGTTCGAGTCTCACCCGAGAACAACTTGCGATTTTTTCGTAATTGTTTTCACCAAACTGAGAATTCAGTACATTTCCACGTCAGGTAGGGCAAAATTACACCTATACTTGATTCTCCTGACTCAAATCCAGTTATTAGGTAGTTTTCGCCGCACAACGTTAACCTTAACTTTAACATTAGTACCCAACTTGCAACGCGATAACTCCGCCCCTTTTGTAAACAAATTGAAATACATATGCACAAACCCGTAACTAACGTCCGTCCTGAAATTGTTGTGAAACGTTGTGCAGCGAAACATTGTCTATTTTATCCCCATTGTCTATTTTATCACGAAAATAACAATCATTATCAACATTGCTGTACCAACTGCTTACTTGGACTCGAATTCAACCCTGGCCATCAGACGCAAACTCGGTGTGGTCTAGAGGTATGATGCCAGACTAGTGATCTTGAAATAGTTGGTTTGAGTCCCACCTGAAAACAACTTGCGATTTTTTTCGAAATTGTTTTCACACGTACTGAGTATTTGATACATTTTCACGTCAGGTAGGGCAAAATAACACTATACGAAGAAAATTTATTCATCATACTACAGGGAAATTTTATCGCTGAATATAACAATGTGAATACAGGATAACAAAATGCATTAGACAATTAACAATCAATACGGATTGATGGGGAAATTAGGGGACCCAGCCCAAGAGGCAAGCCTCCTTTGTTATGCTAAATTTAAAAAGTTGTAATGTTGGTTAAGTTCATAACGATGGGGGCAACTCCAAGAAACATTTGCCGAGTAAAAAATCATGATCAAATACTTAAAATAATCCTTTACCGGCACAATTCCAACAAGTCTACATTTCTAGATATACAGGTACTATTTGTAATGTTATAAAATTGTAATGAAATTGCATAGAAGTTCTAGCAAAGTCTGTCAATTGTGGGAAGAAGCAAGGTTGGTATTAGTGACATTGGCCGTATTTGACTGGTGGTTCTTCGTTAAACTACACCCACCTGCGCAGTGGTAAAATCCTATTTAACAAAGATGACCAGTCAAATAGAAAACTTGTAAATACTCAACCAAAACAAAATGGCTGCATAGCTACCGCGATACACGCTGCGTAGTCAAGATTGCTTCAGCTTGTGGCAGTATGGGTTTTCGTAAAAAAATTATTTTCATCCAGTTTTTGAATTCTGTTAGCCTACAATTATTTTTTGACTTCATGTGGGTATATATTATAATTTTTATTTTCTGAAATTTAATCTAAATTATATTAACGCAAATGTTGTTTCTAAACTCACCAATTGGCCATGTTTGTTTTGGTCATGTGTATATTACTTAACGCTGATTAACACACTCTGATTTTACGAACCAGTCATATGAAAATAATACTCAACGAAAAATCATAGTCAACGAAATGACCAGTAGAATACGCTCATAGATTTGCATTTCTATTTTAGTAACTTGGAATTGGGCCAGTTACAAAACACTACTATTTTAAGCGACATAATTCTTTCTATTAGACACTGCTAGTTTATTATTATCATCAACTTTCAGATATCATTTTCAGTTCTGTTTGCTAAAAAAAATAATTGGTTTGGTGTCCAAGTAATGACGTTAATTGCTGGCGTTGCAAGTGAATTAATACCATCATAATCCCACATATCACCCACACATATCAACTAAAGTGTAAACTGAACTAAGCTTTGTCAAAATAAATTCTTAATGATGTTACATGATGCATGGGACAATTAAAGTAGCTCACACCAAATACCTTTCTTATCACTTTAATGTTTTACATGTATATGATTTAAATAAAATCCAAACTGCTGCTTTTATGTATCGTTTATCGCATAATACTTAACCACCCAACATCAGTAATCTTTATACAAGAGCATCTGAACATCATCAATATAATACAAGATTTTCTAGCATTGATTATACTTCTCATACTCCGTGCACATCTAGTATCGGGTGTTCTTCAGTTCTATTTTGGGGTCCGAAATTATGGGCTAATGTTTCTGATGACTTAAAAAAAAATTTACATTGAATAGTTTTAAATATCATTTTAAGAAGTCTTTGGTCTCGGTGTATGGTAATTAATTAATTTTCTTTTTTTCCTCTCATTTCTATTTGAGTCTTGAAATAATGTGTCTGGTCTTGTGTTCATAACTGGATTGTAATTATTATAATTAATTATTATTATATTTTTATTGGTATATCATTCTGTTATTATATTAGTTTAAATACAGCTAAACATTGGTACCGGTCATTTTTCCAACTGTTTTGTTAAAGGTGGCTACGTCTTAAAGCTCTAGTAGAACTTACAGTAGCCTCCTTCCATACAATATATTTGTTTTTAATTTGCATTCTTATTGTATACTGTATTATTGTATTGTATGGAAAATAAATTCATATTTGATTAGGCCATTGGGTTATATTTTTTCTGTGGCAGTACTGCCGGGGGTCGGGGACACAGAACTGTCAAGGATCTCTGGTGCCATCAATGGTTTTATGTCTACATTAATATTATGTTATATTTATATTGGAGTTTAGTACAGTAAAAAATTCTATTATTCTAGAAATTTGAAACAGAATTATTCTACACTAAAAAGTGTTACTAGACCAGGTGTAAACATAATAATGAATTGTGAATTGTGGGGGCTGCACATGAACGATTTACGGTGAATATATGATACTTTTAGTGTGTTTGTAAGAACCTTCCTACACTGTTTCAATACTATTTTATGCTAAATTTTATAAGTATTTTACAGTTAACTGGCATCGGATTGTAACAACAAGGTGTGTTTTTAGCCCAAGAAGGTAGTCAAGCCACACCCACAAGGGTTTAAATTTTTTTTTTCGTGGGCTGCAATAAAATTGCCATTGGACATCGTGTGGCCTGTAGGCTGCACTTTGACTACTTATGTCGTAGATGTTCATGTAATTTCATTCAAATACATTCACCTTCAACCATTTTAAACTCCTGAGTAGAGAGAGAAAATCATGAATAAAGTGTTTTTCCCAAGGTCATAAAGCAATGTGACAAGAATCTTAATAATTCAAATCAACCGAATAAATATGCTTCCCTGATCAATGACCCATCCAATCAGAGCGGCCACAATCAATGACCCATCCAATCAAAGCGGCTCTTACAATCAGCCAGGTATATATATTTCTCTGTCAAGTTTTTGAGAGCGTATAAATTTGGTTACATTTTCCCAAGCTAGAATAGTATTATAGAAAACCAAGAGTAATCGGAGAGGGAAGGTGCCGTGATGTGCATATCAATCTAGCTGACAAGACTTAGGCCTGTGTTTCTCCGCATTAGAGTATCAGGTTCGGAATATATTTGAATTTAGTTGATACCATAATCCAAGGAAACATGTCACAACTTGAAGTAATTCATTTTAGCATGTGAATTCTCAGTTACAATGCATGCAAGCTGCACTCTGTGTTCTTACCTTGTGTTGGCAAAATTGTATGAACGGAAATAAGTTCTGCATGTTGCTATTAAATACATGTGTTTACACATGTATTTAATAGCAAGGGTTTACCAAGCATAATAAGTACAGGTGCGAGAGTACATTTGTATGGAATGTGGTGGAATTTTCATATTATAAAGGTGTGAGTGAAAGCGCATGTGAAAATTCAGGTTTATAGGTAAATGGCTCTGATAAAACCCGCTGTTTGTAGCATCCATAATTTCACACAGGCACCCAAAACTTTCGAGAACCAGGATTTTTAAACATTTTCATGTCTTTATATTTTATAAAAGATACATTGAAGAACAATTCTGCAAAATATCAATCACTAAATCAAACTGAAAAATATATTAAAATAATTTAAAAATACAATCTTAATGTTAAACTATTAACTATGAAATCTTTTGAAGTTGTTGTCTAGAAACAGGAAAAAGGCCACTCAATAGTGCCAGAGAGGGCACAATATTGACTGGTTCCCGATGGCCAACGTCCGGTCGCGATCTTGTGGCTGTACCAAATGTAGGCTTAGCAAGAGACTTACCAGCTTAGCACCCAGTTTAGCTTAAAATTCCCGCAAATATTTTGTGCAAAATCGTGTCACTTTGACACAAAATAGGCCAGGGACTTTTAACTACCAATTTCACCCCGGTTATTTCCCACACTTGCTACAAATTCCTCACAAGTATACCCCATAAATGCTGCAAATCCCCCACCCACATATTTCGCACACTTGTGCTACCAAGTCCTCGAAAATATACCCCGTTAATGCGGCACCTCCCTGTATAGGAATATTTAAGAGCGAGCCCCCGGGGGTGTATATCCATAATAATTTGGAATATGTATTTGTAAAGGCTCCCACAAGTATCAGTCCTCAGCAAATATAGCCTGCTAAAATGTATAGTTCATGCAAGTGGCCCAATTTCAAATTAGAAAAATTAAATTGCTTACGATCGACCAAGGCATCCAAGACGCTCGGAAACTTCTCTCTTCAACAGCCCCTCCAGCAGAGTTTTCATTTCATTCGACATTGAATCCGGGAATTCAACATCCTACAAGAGATAATATTTATCAAATAGTACAATTCATAAGATAAAAAAATATAACATTTAATTTCATACTATGTAAGCAAACGATGTTCTTCATATACAGACTGAAAGTGTTATGATTACAAAAGATAAGAAAGATAACTTATATCGCTATACTACAGTATATGTATACAAAGAGGTATCCACTTTTTGTGTTGGGCCTATGGAATATGCTTTCCTCTACGACGCTTTTTTTTGTGTTGAAATTTTAATAAATAAATATTCTATCGCAAAATCAAGGAAAACAGTAAAAATTCTCAGAATATTTATGCATCTTTATTTGACAAAAATATTTTCAATGGAAGGTTACAATGGAAGCCACAAGGCTAAAATCCATAGTTTAGTTATCAAATTTATTACTTAAAGCTTCAGAAGTGACACTTACAAATACCATACAAGTAATTTATAGTGTTCCAAGGTAAAACAAAACTATATACAGTATATATACAGTATATATATATATATATATATATTGCAAAAAAGATTTCCATATTTTAAATTGTCAGGCGCGGGAGGCACTTTTATGATTTTGTGCTTTAAAATGAAATTTTACAAAAATTATTTTATTTTTATGGTTAAAATGTACATTGGAAATAGGTGACAGAATCTTTTGGGAATAAAATTACAGAAAATATATTGTTCATAATACACAATAGACCATTCACCACATACACTATATATCAACCGGCCTATTTAAAGACTATACTTCTCATTCCATGAACATACCATCTATCCTAAGGGATCACTCATAACTAAAAGAATCTTGTGAAACACAACTAGAGCTCTTTGAATTCCTTGATTAGATAGATTACCAAATCAGAATGCATCAAGAAATAAAGTTACAGACAACTGGACAGAGATTATCACTATCGTCCTTACTACAGATTTTGATCAATCATTATGGTCTAAGCATTTACATAGCTTTCTGCTACTCTGTTTTGTTTACTCGCAGTGCTGGCCTGAGAATTTGCATGACAATGGGGACTAAGATGTCCAACAACGGGAACTAAGATGTCCGAAAGGGGGTGCCAAAAAGTGCAACAAGGGGCTAAGATGTCTGACAAGAGGGGAGAGGGGAGAAGCTAAGATGTCGGAAAATGGTCTGATAATTTCCAGTGGAGGTCAGCAATATGTCCCAGAACAAAGTCCTCCAGGGTGTCCAGGTGTCTAAGCCTCGGTGTGTAGAAATGAATGGGTGATTTTTTGACATATAACATGATTTGCAGTTCTTGCTATTGGCATCTGGTGGCACAACAACAGTTCTTGTTGAAGTTCCATTGTACATATGTATGTGCTGCATGATTACCAAATTAGCATAACAAATTTGCATATAGGTATTCAACAGGTAGTCACTATGCTGTATCTCATCACACTACTACTCACAAATACTGTAACTCTAACTAGCCTCTATGTGAAGGAATGTATCAAATAAGCCTGTATGTGATATTAATGTAGTCAAAGAGGATCAACTTCTCAGACTTGTCAAGTACATAATATTATAATGCAATTGTCTTTTTTTTACTTGTTGAACTTTGAAACTTTGAGTGAGTAATGGTACACGGAGATCATGCTTATGCATAACATGTTCATACAAACAGGTTTTTTTTAACGTGATGTTGAATATACTTATCTACTGTAGAGCAGACATTCAGTTGCCCATCACTAATACACCGCAACTGGTTATTTCATGTGTAGGCCAGTACTTGTAGCTGGATCGTGTGCTCTTTTTACGGTTAAAATAAAGTGGCTAGGAATAGGGTACCATACGCTTGCCAATTCTAACATTACTGAAATAGCGTACAGTACTGTACCACTACACACATCATAAAATATACTAAGAATTGAATGTGTCAACATAGAAATTAATTAACCAATCACAAGTTCTATAACTGATGTGATAAGAGGACTATTGTAATTAACTACAGTATAGTGATCTAGTGTTTATTGTTGTATAAATGAAACTACTTTATAGTATGTACATTGAGGTAGCAGCATATGTGGCAAAGACAAGCCAGTCACTCGTCGCAAATTATGTTTCAGAGAAAATAGTAAAAACATGCTAGAATGTAAAATTTTTTTAAAATCTATTTTATTTCACTAAACTAAGGTTTATGTATCTATACATCATGCTGTGTTGTTATTTTTCCCAATTACAATGTTAAAACAACACTTTTTAATGATTTTGTAATAGTTTCTGCATGAGAAATGCCTGAAATCATAAACTTTGAAGGCTGATTTCTCATATATTGTTCTTTAAGCAGCTGTATGCTTAAATGCTTGTAACTTCATAAGGAAATGTCAGATTTGAATGATTTTTTACCATTTTATAGCTCCTATTTTACACTTTAACCCTGTATTAATAACTCAAAATCGATTTTTGCAACGAGTGACTGGTTTGGCTTGTCTTTGTCACATATAGGTACAGTATTATCTCTATGGTACCAGGTACAGTACTTTTTTTGGTAGCACAAGTTCTTATAAACCAATGACTGACATTTAATAATATTATTGATTATTTTACGTGGTACAAGGTATTTGAATTTGGTTCCTTATACAAGTAGCACATCTGTTATGATGTTGATGTAGAAGTCTCTATAAATGTACAATCACAGTTAATAAAAATAATAGTAGTATTGCATATCCACAGCCAAAGCAATAGACGAGAAGCTGTAGATTGCATTGCAAGACCACCAGTACTCACCATTGTTAGTGTCATACGGTCTATCTCATGTTTGTCCTTTGTCTTATGTTGTCTGAATGGACTGTGTCTGTATTTAAAACAAAACCACATATAAAAAGCATAATTATAAAGAGAGTCTGTCAGCGTGCAAAAACGTTGCCACTAACAAAGGCTCGAACTCGGTATTTTCTGCTGTCCACGCAGATGCCTTTTATGGACCACTGGGACTTAGTTAAAGATCCAAATTCGACTAAAGCAACTAATTTTTCATTCTGTTGCACATGCACATTTGAACCATGGACCATTAATTGAACAGCACTGGTCATCGATACGCAGCAAACAACAGAGACCAATATGATACGCTCACATTTTATACTATATTATATATAAAGGATAAACTATATTGTATATATTTATTTCTTTACTGCATCCAACAGTTTAAAATACCAATAACAGCATGGAAATAAAATATAAAATACAATATATTATCATAATTTAAAATGTAAAATGATTATATAAAAGCAAAATAGAAAGATAACCATACTGTACACTGTAAATACATTCAGTTTTACATACAAATTACTTATTAGTATTTTTCAATATTTTTTTTATATATTTAAATGACACAAGGACACAACATTTGTATTTCATTTGGATATAGCAGATTCAAGCAGGTCAGCTCTTCTTATGAATATCAGGTTTCCTACTGATGGATATGCAATAAAATAAAATAAAAACATTCTGTTTAAAATATATATATATTTTACAACCACACAGGCAATTGTGTGCACAGCTGTTAATTAATTTATATACTTTTAAGGATACCAGGTTGGTCCAATCATTAAAAAGACTGGTTTTCTCTCAGAGCCATGGAAAACTACACCATGAAATTTAAATATAATTTAAAATATTAATAACAATATCTGAATATTTATCATCATCATTATTAAAATACAACAAAGACCTAACAACAAAGTGTGCATTATGGAATATATAGAATTTTAAAATCACTATTATTTATGTTTAGGAAAAACTCTGAATGTTTTGCAATTGTATAGAAAAATATAATCCAATTTGGCATCACTCAAACGAAGATGTCTTCTCGATTTTCCTTAATAAAGAAACAGGTAAATTTTTGGAACTGAAATCCTTGATAACTGAACCAAAAGGGTGTAAGTTGATAAAAAACACCACACATCTTTAGAAATAACACAAAAGATATAATAAAAGACATGTTTTGAGTTGCCAACAACCTATCATCAGTTTAAAAAAAAGCCTACTTTAAGGTGAACTTAGACAATGGAGAAATTAGAGAACAATTAAAAAAAACGATGTTGAGGCGCCGAAATAACAACGTTAAGGAGAAAATAACACAGAGGATATTCGCCTTAAGTCCGACTTAGCGCACATTATTATTAAATTATTACCATTATTATTATAATTATTACCATTATCATTATCATTATTATTATTATAACAAACAGGTCTACCTAGCCAGCTTAAAAAAACACAATTTCAAACAAAAAAAATATGACTTACCCTCTAAGAAGTTTGTACAACATACACCCAAGTGAGAACCAGTCAGCACTCGAGTCGTACGCACTACCCTTTGAAAGTACTTCTGGCGCCATATAACCATGCGTACCACTTTAAAAGAAAGGAGAAATGAAGTCAACCAAGCTGTGCATTTGATGATGCTGTGCACTTATTCCGGAGGGTATTAAGTGCATATGCGAAGAGGTTATCTTAAACTAGGTGATATGCGAAAATGTAACCCATTTGATCATCAAGACTAAATAACCAACCAAACCGTCCTAGAAATTCATTTCACCCCAAGCGTAATTATAAATTATTCAACAATTCAAAGAGATTCCATAGTTTAATGGTTTCAGCTAACAAATAGTTTTAAAAAAAATCCAAACTAAAACTTACAATAACTTAAAAGAATTCAATGATTTTCAGACATTTTACTACAAAAGCTTCAATTTGAATGAAATTTAACGGAATATCAGAAGATTAAATGACTGGTTATTTAAATGTCCATAACTGACGACGAAATTGATTTCTTTTTCTAAATTTCAGCTAATAGCTCTAACTTATTGAAATAGAGAAAGAAAATAATTTAATGGTTTTTGAATCTATATTTTCAAATTTACTGATTCCAGAAGAAGAAGGTACACTATTACTGCAGAGGGGTGTACAAGTTAACTGTAGATGGAGGTGCATATACCACTGCAGTGGAATATATGCACTTTATGCAAATGGAGGTATGCTCTATGTGAAGAGGGATATATGACTGTAAGGGAGGTGCCAACTGCAGAGAAAGTTGTGCACTTCCTCATTATAAGATAAAGGTAGGAGAATAACCCGTAACTCGCAGCGTCATCGTGCCGAATTGCTTATGGGGGTGGTCCATGATTACATTATATTTGTTGTGTGATATTCATTATATTAGAAAAAAATATACATATTATATACAAAATACTGACCAGTGGCACAATGGTTAAAAAAAAAAGAATAGTCTTTAATAATAAAGAACCAGATGAGTTTATTCAAAAAATTCCATTATTTAAAAAAAATAATCCATGTTTCCTCCTACAAAATTATAATAATTACAGGAGAAAAAAAAGCATCAAGAGAAAAAAACATGTAGATGATAATATCATTAACCAATTCAAATGATACAAATTTCTCTAATTACCATGGAAAAGAACATCAATTGTTTCTTAGCAACACCATGGAATAAGTATTAGAGTCAATTTTATTCACATACGTTCATGATTACAATATTCTAGAGCAAAACTAAAATAAAATGATTGGCCTGATGTGATGTGCATATTATTATATACAAATTATAAAATTGATTATAATAAATAGGTCACAGCTGCGCCAAGCACTATAATTAAGATTCAAAATGACATTTCAGGAAGTTATATTAATTAATATTGAGTGCAATCAATCAGCTGTCCCTTCTATGATTGGCTGACAGGAGACTCTAATAGTCTTATTTGCATAATGACACACCTGCCTTCTGTTGGAATCAAAAATTTAATTCGCAATTATGACAGTGGGAAATTGTTGTAATATTAATAACAATATTAGTATAAACAATAATAATAATAACAATAATAACAATAATATTTATAACAACATAGTATCTTCAAGATTTATTTATGCATAATAGTTACCTGAAAATATGTATGACAATAAAACTAAAATTTTCATCGATTTATGTTGACATTTTTGGAATGGTATCAAATTTACATCAAGATATCAAATGGAAAAAGATATTCTTGAATTCTTCAAATATTTGTGTATCTTTAAAATAATAGCGTATGTCTATATTTTTGTAATACTGTTGACATTGTTTTCTTAAACTCGCGTTTTTCATGACTGAAAGGTTTTGAATGCTTCAGTTATATTTTTTTCTAATTTTGATCTTTTATTTATATATAGCGATTTTACATTTGGATATGAAGCGTGCTTTTCCCTGTTCAGTAGATACAGAATCAATTATGCACAATGCACAATGTGTAGCCTCCTCTGCTCTCTAGGGAGTAATCCTAGTTACTCATGTAATCATCAGTTCCATTCCAAATCATTTCTTTGAGTGTGCGTACTTATATGTGTGTGTGCATACTTATGTGTATCCGTGGGTGAAAGAGGCAAACCTAGATAAAGTGGTCCACAAAACAACACTAGAAATGTGACCAGTGTTGGCCTCGAACCAACAACCTCTCAACTAAAAGCATGATGCCAAGCCACTGCGCCACAACATGCTTTCGCAAAAGGCAGATTCAAATGAATCATGTGGTTTGTCACAAGCAGAATATGCATTATAATGACTTAGAATTTCGAACTGCATATTGATCAGCTTAAAACTGCCATTATTACAAAAACTGATGTGTTTAAAATTGTGGGCGAGTCTTACACATCACATGATGTCTCTCAGCCAATCAGAGGAATATGGCCATGGCTGGAAATGAAGAGTTCATGATGAATCCTAACATAAAAAAAACCCCATCAAATCAATTTGGCTAATACACAGTATCCTGAATAAACACTACACTTATCTATTTCATTTAATATTTTTAGTATTTTTAAAGTTTTAAGTTAATACCCTGTCACTTTAACTACTGAAAATAGATTTTATTCCATTGGCTAACCTTTCAGCTGACATCACAGTAGATCTGATTGTTTCTACAATGAACATTGGATATGATAGTGAGTCAGGCACATATTGGATATAATATAAGAGTGAACCATAATTACTATATCTTTATAAGGCTGGATCAGTGACAGGTTACTTAAATTCATAACAAATTATTTGTCTGCCTGCTGGAAATATGAGAAGGGTTGAGAAAATGTATGTGGCTGGTGTGCTTACAAACCAATTTCAGGTAGATTTAACAGATTTACAAAAGACTACTCCATAAATATGAAAAGGTATTATTTATGTTAGAATACATTTGTTCATAAACAGATATATAAAATGATCGTCAGCAGACATCATTTTGTCTGATCAGGTGAGTTCATGAATTTATGCAACGATTACATAGCTCTTTGATTAAAAGATGAATAATGATGGTGGTGATGATAATATGATTAAGATGTTAATAATCATAATGACGAAGTAAGCAATTATTTGATTACAGTGATAATGGTGATTCTGATTAGAGTAATGATTATATTTGTGGTGATGGTTAATGGAGATGATGATGATAATGACAGTGGAGGATGATGGCGATAATGCAGATAGTAACAGTGCATGACAATGATGGTGGTGAGGATGATGATTTATGATGATGATGGACAAAAAAAAAGTACAATTACTTTTATTTATACTGACTCAATCAATCTAAAGGAAGTTGTCATACACTATGTTGTACGACCACTGGCCGACGAACTCCGTTCCGGCCTTGTGAGCGCTAGGCAACACCTTCTCTTGATTGTCAGTGGCAATCTACACGGATCATCATTAAAACTGATCCGTTGCACATGTATAGAATTGTGTTAGAGTACGACCTTGAGGCGCAGTGAGCTTTGACCTTAAACGCATTGACATGCGGGGGAGGGGGGATGCTGGTGGGTGTGCAATAGAAAAGTGCAAGAGAAAGCGATTATGTGAATACAAAGTAGGAAAGAGATCAAACAAACAAGAAATGTAATATATACTTACACACTAGCATGAGGTTTCTTTTTTGAGAAATCGCAGGCTAAACCAAGATCTGAAATCCTAACGTGACCATTCTCGTCAAGGAGAATGTTGGCAGGTTTTAAGTCCCTATACACTATGAACCGAGAGTGCATGTGTTCTAAGCCTAGTATCACTTCAGAGGCATAGAATCGCACCTCCTTCTCCGAGAACACACCGTGTTGAGTGAGATGGTAGTGAAGATCACCACCTGTCAGGATTGAAAAAAAACCAACATTGTATTTCTCATTCATTTAACTATACATATAATGACAGAGATAAATAATGAAAAAGAGAGTTTATAATGATAAAACAGTTTTATAGAAATTGTCGGCAACTTTGAAAAGTAATTTTATACTTTCAATTAGTGACCGACATTAATATTATTATTATTATTATTATGTTGTAAGATTCAAATATACAGTACCAATATATATGTATATTTCATAAAATAATATCTTAATCTCATAAAGCACACATATGCCAATGACTCAAAGTGCTACATGTTATTACCTAAGTTATCAAATGACACACAAAACACATACTAAAAGAACCATGGAGTGGTACTCTATGCTGTAGCGAGTATTCAGTACTGGCCTTTGAACTTGTCAGGTACTTATTAAACTCTTTGGCGAAGAAATAAGGAGAGAGTAAGACTAAGTGGATAAATGCGTTTGCCAATGACATAAATGATCAACTTTTGATTTAACCCTGGATCTTTCAATTGGAGGCCTGGTACTTCACCACTGCTCCACATTCTTCCATCCACTATCAATTTATTATGAAGTCAGTTAATTGCTCTATTGTATTTTTGTATGCTTTGTATTATTAGTTTTATTATATTTATCACTATTATTATTAGTCAGGCTTACTTAGCATTTCTGAAGCCTTTATGCACATATAATTGTAAAGAGCAAACAAGGGAAGGGTATACAATTATGTATTTGCACATAAATATAATACTGGTAATTTTTATGAAATAAAATATTGTTTAAGTACGTCAAATATCATATTTCCAAGTCCAAGTTCACAGAATGTATGCTCTTGCATAAAAAAAATGAACTATTCTATTATCATTTAGGGGTGTTCTAAAATAATAATGAAAAAATAAAAGTCCATGTAAAATGCCAGTATTGTAATGAATATTAATTAATTTTATTATGATATTAAAGACAGAGACATGAGTGAATAAAATTAAATTTTGTTTTCTATTTTTTCAGATATTGTCCCGTGTGAATGACAAAAATGACACACTGTTTAAAAAAAATGCATTTTTTTTCAAATATCTTGTTTATAAGTATGAACTGCATTTGATCCCAAATCAAGTGTATGAGGGTCCATTAAATCCATATAAATATTTGATTATAATTGCACTTAAATATTAATAATAACAGTATGAAATATGTCACACTATTACTTTTCGGTAACAGTGTGATGTTTCATTTAATTTTAGTGATTTTATCTACTTAGGTTAATTCAATCCTTACCAAATTTTAGTATATTACAAATAGTTATATTCCTAGATGAATGTAGTTAATAGCTTTTAAGTAGCCAACACAAGGCGAAGATATTAATAATAACTGCAATCATAAATTGTCCCACTCTTACCAAAACATTTGCTATTTTTTATATCACAAATTAAATATAAAATAGACTGAATTTATTATTAATGAAGTTATTTTATATTAAATATATATGTATATGGGTCTAATAATCTATAAATGAACTATACTATTATCATTTTAGGGGTGTTCTAGATGAATGTATAAGCACACTTCTTAATAATTAAGAAATATACTCAAGGTAATATAAATCATGAGAGATTTCTATTGAAATCTCAAATGGGTAATTATTAATAATCAAATTTTCAACAGTGATAATAAAATAGTAGAATGTTTAAACCACTAGAGGATAATGAATATTGTGACATGAAATATTAACCGTTCATTAAATCCAGGATGAAGCTGAGTTTGTCAGGCGTCTGGAATGCATACGTCATACAAACAATGAAAGGACTATCCACCTAAAAAAAAAAGAGGTGAAAAAGGATTAGTATTAAATACAATAATAATAATATGATATTCTCTTATAAATATACATTATATAATGAAGGGAAACTGTATTTATTTATAATATATAATATTACTATACAAACATTTGTAATGCAGAAATTTTTATAGACAGGTGACAACATTACAATATCAGAGCCATTTACAATAAAATCTTCAGACAATAAAAATTGAGGGAATCATTCCTGTCTTACTCTTAAATAAGAAAATTCCTCTTCTTGTACATTTATCATTTTCTCTGTGAATCAATTGGACCCAATAGGAAATTCATGCACACTAAATGCATGTGTATATGAGGTACATCTACAATTTACGTTCCTTCAAGGTAAAGAATAAACCAACGATAAAGCAACCTATCTTGGAAATAATTATAATAAACCAATTGTAGTAATAATATTTACAATAAGCAAGGCCACATTTATTCCAGAAATTAATAAGAAAAAATCCTTTTTTGGTTGAAATGAATGAATGAATTTTCCCGCAGTGGGATGAATAAAGTATCCTTCTATCCTTAAAGAGGTAAAATTGTAGACATGCAATTCTGAAAAGCCTGAAATTTGTCTTGCATTTGCTGCATTTCAAAATGTGATATACTGTACTGTATTTCATCAAAATCACATTATTAAAATAATTCAATTCAAAGAATAATTTTATCTTTCATTATTTTTGCCATAAAATTTTGTTTAACAAATAAAAATATATTGTTTAATATTAAGGCCTAGTAATATACAATTTAGATATTATAAGATATGAGCATTTTTATATTCATGCTGATAGCAAACTCATTCTCTAACCAAACATGGTCCCCCTTCTCCTTCGTTCAGATCTTTAACTACCCTGATTCTTAAAGTGTTGGCTGTTTAAACAATTTCTGTTTCTAAAAGGTCCCTTCAAAATAGTATTAAGCACTGCAGCTATCACAGACAAATGGTAAATGATAAATAAATAGAACAATTTACAAATCAACAAGAACTTTGATAAATTACAACAAGAACAGTTTATCATGTGATGTCATGGCGACAAGGTCCCTGGCACCATCATCACACTAGTACAGCAAATGTATCTGCGCACCTCCATCAACTACATCATTAGTCATCAACAACATGCAAGAAAATTGAACATTAATGCCACAGATGTCGCTGACATCTCGCGCAACATCAGCAGCAATTCTCGAAGGGGGTGGGGTGTATGACTGTCCAAACAGCTAAAAGCTGAGCAAGTTGATCATAACTACACCATTTCAAATACGAAAGACACAAAGATGAGTATATATACAGAGATATGATTGAATTCATTATCAATCATAGAAGTTTAAAATTACTACCATACTTTGATACTGTATACTTTTATATTGACTTGTCTGAACGCCGACAGTATTCAAAGCTTGTCCATTTTGTCCAAAGACTAGTACAGGTCTCCCTAAAATTAAAGACCACTTTTACAGCTGGGTTTAAATGGTCTTTAGGAGATTTTGATTAACTTTTATTAGAATAATAAAGATAAAAGACATTTGTGGCACCATAGCATATTCTCTAATTAGTGTTGGTTTTTAATTGAAGGGTCTTTAATTAGAGGGAGAACTGTTTGGCCGCTATAATGATTTTTTTTAATGCAGCATTTGTAATTATTTGAATATTCGGATACAGATCTTTGACTTACATAAAGCAAGACATATAATACTCTGCAAGCTAGAAAATAACAATATTACAAAATATACAATAATTACACTAAATAACAATGATGATATGCATCATTACCAGTAAGGTTGCGACCAACAAGTATGAGAGGCCATGCGATTAATAGGGACCATGAAAATGGAGGCGGTGATGCCAACTCTTTTTCTTTGTCAGTTTTCTTTATTTCTTTGTTTCAATAATATTCATAGTTTAATATTATTGTGATATTTTTTTGCTGTTTTCTTTTTTTCTTAAATGCCTCTAGCATTTCTTTGTCTTTGAAATGAGCATCAGCACGATTAAAATATTATTTATTATTGCTGCCATGAGAACAATTAAATGATCTCCAACTTAAAAATTTTAAAACTTTGATCAAATCAGAAAACTAATTATATCTTTCTGACCACCCTCTCTTCTCTTGCCTTCTTTTTAATTCATTTGAATTGGTTCTTTTTTATTTTAGTTAAGTTTCTGTATATTTTTTTAATGTTTGTTTTTGTTCTACTTTTTTGTTCATGTGATCCACTAGTGAGATCAGTGCTGCGTCACTGAAAGTGTTATCACGTTAAAGGCAGAATAAAATAAAAAATAAAATAAATGTAAAGTTGATACTAAGTGAATTGGCAGAGAAACCATGGGATAGAATAATTAGGGTTAAGGCAAATTATGCTTCCCTTATAGAGCACATTGCATTGTTTTTCAAGTTTATCACTACAATTTACATAATATTAAGTATATTAATTATATGTCACTGTCCTTGTCTACCTGTCATTTAATATTTGAATTATTTCCTCTTATTTATATGTAATTTCAATACGATTTATAGTGAATAAAAGCGAGTTTATTTTTAAAATAAAAATTTCCTCTTGTATAACGCTTTAATATAAATATAAAATTATGTAAATATGTATCTCTCTTTCCTGTCAGTTATGACTACATGAAGAATTTCAATCCCTATAAAATAATGTGGACTGGATAGCAAACATAGTTTACATGCTATCTGCACAGTAAACAAGTGTGAAGCTACTATCAGTAGGTTTTGCAGTATAATGTAGACATATTGGCCTTTGGACGAACTTCAACAGAGATGTCAACGGCCAATTGGTATTCTAAAAATAGCAAATTAAGCTTACGTGAATTTTCATGAATTGATGTCGTTGCTCAATATATCCTTCTCCATTAAATTAGCAATTTTCTAACTAAATTAAAATACCGGTGTATGTTATGTCTAGAGTAAAAAAAAAAAAATGACCCAAAGAGTTGTTTCCCCATATTGTAAAAAAGTATAGATAACGTTCATGAATCAACTTCCTTGAACCTTACTCCTTCTGTGATGACATCACAGAAAAATAAAACAATTATATACGTAGCAATGCACCATAAACATAGAAACTGGGCAGTTGATATGGTAGCTGACAAGCTTAAATAAAGTCATGTTTAGGAACTTCTACTTATAGGAGAATTAAGAAAGACACAACAAAAGTTCATTAATAAAAGTAGGACATTTTTGTCATACCCTACTGGCCAAATGCTTGTGGGATTTAGTGAATCACCAATGATCACATCACGGCTAAAACCTACACATCCAATCAAGATCAAGTTCCAGCTTCCTCTAAATTGGATTAAATTCTGTTCTACCTAACATAACCTAATTGAAAACACCACAGCAGCTGAAGAATGTTATCAGTTATTGATTTCATGTATAATAATATTGTTTTGATTACAAGATAGTTCAAGATTATGGAACATATGAATGAATTACTTCCTCCTATTCCTTCCTATTCTGTTTTTGTAATTGTGTAGGAGAGTTTAGTATTACACAACGTAGTATAAATAAAATTTTTATGATTAATATGGTAAATATAAGCAGAAAAGTAAAAAAGAATAAAGGTATCTGCATAAGGGAGGGTGGGAACCTCAAGGTCAGGGAAAGACATTGTGATCTACAAAGAAGAACAAGGAGACAGAGCTGACGTGAAAACCACAAATCCTGGAATCCAAATATTAGCTGGGTGATGTGGAAAATTTACAATGCAGAAGTCCTATTTTCATGAAAACTTAACGGTCATATTTAGAATTTTAACCTACAGTACTTAGTAGAAATACCATAAGTTAACATCATGTGCAGTGGCGTAACGCCTATGCGCTCTTGTGCGGCGGTCCGCAGGGCCCCTGACCAATAGGGGTCCCAAAGGGCCCATCCATAGTTTCCTCGGTCTAGCACCCTGACCCAAAAGGGCTTTGTTGATACATAACAACATAATGTATCTCTGACATCAACTTTAGGCCCTCCAGTTGTGAAAGTCCCTCCTTGCTTCGTCCTTCATTGCCCCATCAAACTCTTGGATCAACCGCCAATATCATAAAATACGAGCACAACTAAAATCCCCCAACGGAATTGGTGACTGCCAAAAAAAAAGTCTGTTAAAACATTTAGAATACAATGACAGACATGATTAAAAAAATGACCATTTTAAAGAATTGGTGACTGTCCAAAAAGGGCCCCCCAGTTTCAAGAAAGCCATAGGGCCCAGTCTTGTTACACCACTGGTCAGCCTATTCCTATGTATTCCCCCTCAATATACTTCCTTAAAGATATTAAATAAAAATGATAAAGCATAGAAATTTGACTCTCTTGTCACATTATACTTTTGTTGACAATATGCTATGGTATGTAATTATGAATACATGTTATTATTGTGTATTTATTGTAAGTAATTTGAAGTGGATAATAGCCCTTGATGGCTTACGGAACAATAAAACTCTCGAGTTTCGAATCATGAATTATGCTGTCTTTCTCCAAATCTACCATAAGCTTAGACTGTCATTACACAATAATCATGTAGTATTATGTTAATATTATTTTTATTTGATTATTTTTTTTTGATGTACATTCTTAATCATTGAATTTATTATTAATCCTATTTATTTATTTATTTACTTATTTATTGACATTTCACCTTTAGAACGTTGGCACACACAACTTATATGGTGCAGTCAGATAATAATAACTTAAATACAAAAGAAAAGAAAACAAACTTATACTAAAACTTATTAAGAAAAAGCACAACAAATTAACCTGGAATGTAAAAAAAAAAACAAAATACAGCTTAACTCATACACAGCTTATCATAAAATGAAAATGAGATGAAAAATAAACAGTACTGCACTTAAAAATAAAAGAATTACAAACATTTTGTGAAAAAAAAAAAGAAGCACCAACATCATAAATCTATATAAAAAATTTTTTTAAAAACTTATCAAAATACAAATATTCAAAGCAGCAATACTTTTGATTACAGAAGCGTTTTAGTGTTAACTGATTGTCATGTTTATGTAATATGACAAGCAATTAAATTGTGTGAAATATTATTACATGATTTTTGTTTCATGAATGTTGGTTAATGAAATTTCAAAAATAAATAATAAAAAATTAAAATAATAGTAATAACTTCAATATGTTAATAGATGACTCAACAACATGACTCTGCAAGTCATCAATTCTAAATGAAACTGGTGCTACATTAAACTAATAATATAACGATGCGCCATCCAATGTAGCATGTACAATAACAATGCTACATGTAGCACCACGTACATGAATGCCACACTAATGGTACACTAACATACAGTAAACTAACCAGATATTTTACATGTCGTCTTGTTTAATTTAACAAGTGATATATACATAACCAATGATATCAATACTACACATACGTAAAGCGTACATTCCCGCTACTTCATGGCTCATTTGATCTATCACTATGTACTCAGATTAAGATGTTTCTGATCGCATAGACTTGGAGCAATCAACAACATTATTCTAGAAGTCAAATTAAGAAGATTATACAGGATAGGTAATATACTTAAATTGGACAATGAGAAATGTCATTCAAAATATGTTTTGAAATGGAAACCAATGGAAACAATAATAGGGGATGATCAAATTCAACATGGAGAAGTATGGTTGATGAAAATGAAAAACAAATTAAAATGGCTAGTGCAAGACCGTCACAGTGAAGGCTTTTGTTTACACCTTATGTGCACCAGCGCACAACCCGGGAGTAATATACGACTAAATAAATATAACCGATATTCTAGAATACATTCTCTAATGTGTTTTGTTTCCTGTTTTGCATGCTCTGTGGCTTTTATTTTATTGTTGTAGCTTGACAGTATGACAACAGGTCTTGCTCCTTCAATTTCAGAGGCATTTCCACGGTTGCCAGGCGATGCATCATTTCGATTTGAACAGTCTTTAAAGATGACCGTTAAGCATACATTATCACTTGGGTTGGACAAATACATCTTAGGGCGAGGGAATCGATTTCACCAGGGCATCATTATAGATGTTTACACCAATAGTTCAACATGGTTTTCGAATGTTTATTTTGCTATGCATGAGTGCACCTTAACATCTGACCTCCCGCGACTTCTAGGTCATCCCCTAGTAGTCGTAGGTCACTGTTGCTATGCCGATGGCAACAGGAGCTGGCATGTGGCTGATGTTGTCAGCATGTATTCCATTTATTGACCAAATATTATAGTCATGTCACAAGTTATTCTGTTGAACTGGCATTAAATTTTTCTCCGGCATGACATGGCAGAAACAAGCCTGCCAGGGTGATAACTATCATTTTTATCTTGGAGTGCCTCAAGTGCGTAACTGTGATACAAATTAAATCACAATTATTGCACAGGGGTTTGACCAATCCAAAAGAATGTTTGACAATGGGACAGGTGGTTGACTGGACATTAAAACAATTGTGCAAGATGAAAACAAGAAAATAATGAAAAGATAATAAAATTATAATCTAGTTTATGACCATGAAATCTGACTCAAAGCTTTGTTATAATGCCTAAATCTTTTCTAATACATTATAATATTTATTATATTATGATTAAAATGTGTTAGTAATAATATAGAAATTTGTACAATGAATGACAGAACAATGAATGACAGAATGCACTAAATATATTATTAAACATGAATTCTATTACATAAGTAATGATTGCTTTTTAAAAAAGATGATGATGTTAGTAATGGTTATGATGAAATTACAATAATGGTGAAGATAATAATGATGATAGTGGTGACTGGTGAAAATAATGATGACAGTGATGATGGAAATCTGAGAATCTCAGTGATAATGAAGGTAATGATGATGATTGATAATGAAGGTGATGATGTTGACACTGAGCATGATGGCAGTGATTATAATAATGATGATGATGATAATGATGATGATGAAGATGATAATGATGATGATGATGATGTTGTTGATAATGATGGTAATAGTGATGGTAATGATTAATAATGATGATAATGATAGAGAGCATGACATTCATGATGATAATGAGGAAAATTATGATGAATAATATAGACTATAATGATCAAGATGATTATGATCATCATCATGATCAGAGGAAATTCAGAAATGATTGTTATAATTTTGATGATAATAAAAAGTAATGGTAAAGATGATGGTGATATCAACTTAAATGCAATCAAGCTTTCAGATCAACAACAACCTAGTTAACTACACAATTCACCGATATTTGTCATTTGTCCTAGAAGTAAAGCACGCCCCCGTCCAAACTATAGCTTGATGACAGTAGTGTTACGCTCAATATCCTTCCACCACAAATGACTAAGAGTTATGCAAACATTAAACGGACTCATTCAAGTGTTAGCAGTCTTGCATGTTCCTTTGAATAACATTACATGAGCATAAATATGTGATGATTTCTCACTTGCGTTGATGTATGCGTTGATGTATGCTATATCTAGATAACTTATTGGGTTGTTTTTGTTCATCAATTATCTTGTTAACACAAGCGTATAAAATTATATTTTTCAACAAATAGTATTTTTTTTATCATTTTAAGTGTGTCTATTTTTAGGTTTCTGTCTGATATCTTCAGCTGAGCATTTATAGTTTTTTTTTTATTGTATGTTGAAGTAATTCAATTTTGTTGTCCTAGATTATTTTAAGGATATATTTAAATCAATAAAAAAAATAACATTCAATTAAGTGAAGATACTCTATTGATTAAACTCTATATTACATTTTTCATCATGTTTAAGATGAACTTTCACCTTATAATAATAAAGCATATTAAGACCTATGACCATTCTAAAATTAAGTATTTCACTACCTACCATTTAACAGAAAGATCAGATATGTTAATTTTGATGCGCATACAATGGGCTCGAAAATTATAATGATGATGTCATCAACTAGAGAGAATATTTTTTAAGTATTCCACTTTCTAACGTGTTATGACATAGTATACTTATTAAATATGACAGATGTTTCGCGATTTATCATCTCTAGGTGACAACTTTTATAATATGAGGTAAGCATGAGTAGGGCCACCTGTTGTCAAGGCAACATAAGCAGGGCCACCTGTAGTCTAGGTGATAGATCATGTCACACAATCTAACACAAGGCACTAAATATATTATGCTTTCAAAATTGTTTGGTTATATTTTAAATTTGTTATAATGTAAAAAAAAAATCAACATATTTTTTGTACTATAAGTTTATTTTTAGGTTGTTAAAAAAAACAATATGAGTAGTTTGGATAGAAAATAAATAAAACATTTAACATGTTTATTTCTGTTGAGTTTATGAGTTATATTAAAATCATATTTTATTACAATAAGTTAGGATTTATAATATAAGAAATAAATCTAATAATATTCATTCTAAAATAATAAAGTATAAATATAATGCTATTACAGTAATATAATGAGAGTATAGAATTCCATGTTATATTAGAAATCATCATCTTTATCATCATCATCGTCATCAAAACCACTAGACCTGGACAAATAAAATAATGGACTATTCCATTTTCCAATAGAGGTATTACTTAAAATGATACATACAAACATGTATAAAGATGATAATTTGTTTTTGTTATTAAGGAGAAATTAAGCATGTTCTAATGGTCTCATACTGTGTGAATTATCTCACTTCTTTGTCATGCATAACTTAAAATAATGAATATTCATTATTTCCATATTTCCTATTTTATGGCTACGAATACAATAGGGTCAAGACGTAGATTGGTGGTTGCCTTCCAATTGTATAGTTGTGGGCTGATCATTTCAAATAAAATTAAGCTCATGGAAATTTAAAAAAACACTTTTCTCTATACATACTGAGGTTGAAGGGATATGCTTAAAAGGCTGTGCCTAATATGATTATAAAATCATATTCCTATTCGAGCACTGTAATTTATTACTTATCTATTTGTATATTGTGTTTACAGTGCTATGTGCAGTAATCCTAATTTGAATATTAATTAATTAATATGTATACACATAAAATAAACCAAGCATGAGGTAGTAGATTTTCCTCAAAAATTATTAAGGAAATATAGACTTTATTTTTTTTTTCCCTACATGTTTTATTTCATGTATTTTGTTTTGCTTTGATCTCTAACACCACTTTGATGACTGAAGTAACAATTAACAGCGTAAAACTACTCCACAGAAGCTTAAATTTCCCCTTCCACAAATAGTAACTCGCCTAACCAAAATTAGGTGGTCTTTTTAGCTTGCCATTTTCAAATAACATGCCCTGCGCTATATCACAGGCAGCCCCAGAGAACAAAGAGAACTGGATGTTTTCATTTTCAGCAGGAATACCTGGATGTATATAAGTACCCTAGATTATCAAGTAACTACTTTGAATAATTATTTAAATTATAGACTTACCAGGGACAGCATGATGCGTTCATTGAGAGCTAAAGTTTCGCCTTGCTTCATCTTAATTCGTTTCTTATCCAGACACTTCATTGCGTACCTACAAGAGGATAAATACCAATAAGTCCAGATACCTGAACACCCTCTGGAGGTTAGTCACTCCAAAAGAAAAAGGTCACCTACCTGAGGAAAGGAACCTGTATGGGGCAAGATCACTGATTATATTTGGTGCTTAAAGAAAAATTCCTTCATTACGAGAACTATGATTAGATATACAGTCTGTCATGAGCAAAAATATTCCAGCAGCGTAATTGTGCTGAATTGCATATGGTTATGGTCCGTGACTACCTATAGCAACCATAAAGAGGCGCTTCATGGTAGCTAAATGTTCACATCATTCCACAACGACAGGGGCAGAAATGAACCATAACATCGGGGTAACCCCCTACTCTTCCGAAAGATGTAACCAACATAGTAATTTATATTGAAAATTTGCACATCTTCTTCATAATGATGTAATATTGCATTACATATTTGCCTCAATTTCTATGCACTTATGTACATCAGCCTATTTCATAATGTATATTATTTGTGATATAGCATTACATATTCTGTATGTATAAAATCTAAATATAACAAAGTACCTGATTTATTCTGTAATAATACTGTACGTTATGTAAAAATATATAATATAATATTTAAATATAAATATTCATGTTCAACAATTCAGCTGTTTCGTTAACCAGATAAAAAAAAAATATTTATAGTTTGCTACTTTTGTGAGACAGCTGTAGGTTTAATAATCGCCCACACAAATTATCAGGTATACGAAGACGGAGAATTGAGCATACGAACCACAGCTTTAGAACTAATACGTTTTCCCACGCGATAGCCTGCCTTTAACTATTCATATGCTGTCACATTTTTTTTTTTCAGTCTTAAATTAATTTTTGCTTATAATTTTACTCTTTAAATTTTAAAGTTTCATTATTTATCTTTATGTAATTATATTTTGCATAGCTAATACTATAAACACTCACGCAAAATATCAGAGTATGCGATAAGATGATCAACAGAGCGTACGAACCTCGGATTAGGGGCGTTATTACGCTTTCCCACGCCATAGCCTGCCTCCAACTATTCATATGCCGTGATTTTTTTTTGCTCATACATATAAACACGCGAGCAAAATATCATGGTATAAAAAGATGAATATGAGCCACACAATGCACTTTCCCATGGCAGCTCCTCAACTTATCTTTTTAATTGTGATTTTTATATGCTTTCTAATATTTTCGGTCTTTTTAATTAGTATGAGGCATGCCACTCCAAAAAACTAGCGTAATAACGTTAAATTGAGTAATTAGAATGTGGCAGGTATTGTATACTTTAGTACAGTATGTAGAGAAGCCGTAATAAGTCGATTTTATGACCAATCATTTTAGAGCTTATAATAATATAATGTGGAGAATATGAATGTTAACCCTCTAGATACAGTATTCGACTGTAGTCGAAATTGACCTCAAACCGAGAATTCCCATTTTCGACTGCAGTCGAAATTTAGTGATTAAAAAATAGGTGGTTTTCAAATCGCTCATGTTTTTATTTTAGCTCCAATACGTCAGAAATTTTGAACACGCATGCGTGAAGCTTTTTTCTTTCGAAATCTGTGAAGAACTCACATGCACTTATATAAAAATATTTAGAAATATCAATTTGAAATCATTATTAATTTCAAAAATTTTTCGAAATGGCAGCACAAGATGTGTACACAGCTGAGGAAGCGATTGACCTGATTTTTGATTCAGACAGCGATGAAGGTGAGTTTTTAAATGTGCGAGACTTAGACGTGCCTGATAGCGATGATGACGGTGGGGCTTCAAGCAGTTCTGACAGCGGAGATGTTCTTGATGAAGATGAGCCTAGGCCTAGAAATGTGAGGGTGGTCGATGCTTTTGAATGGAAAGATCGTGATTATAGTTATGGATGGTTGGGTAAATAAATTATATAACTGTGTGGAATAGGAATGTTTTATATTTGTTTTTATTTTTTTTGGCTATAATTNNNTTTTTTTTTTTCGGTTTTTGCTGACGATTTATATGTAGCATTTTTCTGTCATTTCTATTATATTATATATATATTATATTATATTATATTATGAAAAAAAAATCCTAAAAATATAAATTATATATCAAATGAAAGCTTATTCTATAAGCTTTCTTTGTTTTTGGAAACATTTTTCTGTATAATTTACAGAAAGTTCCCAAAAAATCCACCAGAACGACGTATACTCAAAAAACGCAAAAAACCTTGTTACATTGCAAAAGAATCCGGTATTCAAGAGTTTGTACTACAAAAGAATCCAGTATCCAGAGCAAATTTTCTTGTTTTGGTCACTTCATGCTATTTCTGGCATGGCATTAAGCCCTATATTTGTTTTATATTTTTTCATGTTACATTTTGCTCCCCAAATTTTAGATTTATATTATTTACCTTTATGTAAATACATTTTGACTAGCTAATAATATTTTATAGTTAATTGGCTTTGTAATCTTTGAAATCTAATTATTTTAAACTTCAATTTTTATATGCCACCTGATTGTTTAATCTTTATTTATATAAATGTCATCCCCGATTTTGGAACTATAATACCATTTACTAAGATGTTATCTTTTCTTAATTTATATATAAATGTTTTCTCAGATTTTAGAACTTTAATACTATTTACTAAAATGTTATATTTTTCTTCCCTAATATATCATAAATTTAATTAACTCCAAAAACCAAAATTACCAAACAGCATCGATTTTATTGCAATTACATCTTGTTGGTTTGGTTGGGTTTTTTTTTTTCATTTTAAATTTAGTTATTGTTCCCTTGATATTTAATTTTGCCTTCTACTGTAATTGTATATTCTTCAAGTTCAACAAAAAAAATGAATTGAAACAAATGTATTGGTAATGCATGTGCAGGAAAGAAATAATTATATAATTTTATTAAATGAAATTTTCGATCCAATGATCAATAGGGATACAATTTCTTTCTGATGATCTGAAAGCGATCAGGTTTTATGTAACATCATCTTCCATAAAACTTGATCACTTTAAGGTCATACAAAAGATTTTTCTAACAAAATATAATGTTGCTTTATTGGTGAAATTTTCTTTTCACTAAAATAATGCCAAATGAAATTATTTTAGCATTTTATAATATTGCTATATCATAGTAGTTAATATTTATGTAATTAAAAAGAAAATATTATGCAAAATATGTGTGATGCATACTCTAAAGATGAAATAAGAAAAAAACAAATTTAAATGAATAATCATGAGTTTTAATATTATATAAATAATTAATATTAATATTATATAATATAAATAATTTATTACATTTTTCCAGTATCTGCCTTGCGACATCCATAAACTTCACCAAAACCACCTCTACCGATTATCCGATGTACACTAAAATCATTCATTGTTAACTGCAAGAGAAAATAAAGAAAAAAAAATTATAAAATATTAATAAAAATTCTGATTTCATTTTAAACGAATTGCATGTTTGTATGAAAACATGCAAAAAACATTCAGAATGTTTACATTTTTATTAAAGAGAATGAAGGTTCACAAAAATTAGGTCATCGGGACATGTAGGCGAGACTGTCATGTTACCATTCGTTCATATCTATGATTGAGTGAATTCTGCTTACATGATAGAGTGTCATCAATAGATAGCGTCAAGTATAGTTTACCCTCAATGATGGAGTGCAGTCCACCTACGTACTGGCGGGTTACATTCTGACATAATTGAGAGTAATGTACCCAGATAATCAAGTGAAGCCTCCCACACATACACTGGGTTAACTACATAGGCCAACATGTAATCAGTTTGGGTTTGTTTGAAAAAGTGGAGGATGAAGCTTAGCCAGATAGTCACAATGGTGGTTCCAGAAATTTGCCCACAAGGGGATCTGACAGGTCGGACAAGGATTCTAACAGGAGATCCGAATGAAAGGGCCAACTGTAGCCTTGGTCAGGGTCCTGGAATAAAAATCCCTGGTAGGGCTTCAGTTTTTGTACGACCCAAAATTGTGCTTTTAGACCACAATTTTAAAAGGATTAGCAATCAAAACCTTATTTGAATAGATGAATTAGCATTTTGGTTGAATAGCCTTGTGGCATCGGATGAGAGTAAAGGCCCGTCCCACAGATGGTAACTGCCCCCGACCCCCGCTGTCACTACTACTGTGCAGCATATATCTAAGTCTAGGCACAAGGATAATACCCGTTCATAGTACTTAGAATGAGTCAATAGTTGGACGAATATAATGGACATATTTACTACAAAAGCAGGCTTCACCAAATTGTTAATGAAAATATGCGCGACTTCTGTTGTCTATAACATTAATGCATTCTTCTTCCTTATTAACTTGGCTATCTGCAGCACTAGCTCAAGTTGTGCAATGCATGCCATAATTTTAGACAGATTTTTTCCAGGATATAATTGAAAGCAATTTAAACTATTACCGAAATAAAAAATGTACATACTATAAAGAAAATCTAGGTACCATATGTATGGGGAAAAGAGTAAAAGACTTAAAGGTTATTTGAACAAAGGTAAAGGAAGTACTATACAGTTTTGAAGAGCATGGGTAATGAATGCGTTATAATTTGGTAAACATTACTACTGTAGATATTCGACCATGATGGCTTTTGTAGCAATAAAAATGAAATTGGAATTTTTATTTCTAAATATTAAATTGTACATCCTATCATCACCTTCTAAGATAAAATATATAAATTATGAAATATCATAATACAATAATAAAATATAAGATGAAATGTATTTCATTATTGGGGATCCCTCATATCTAGAAAGTTCTGGAAGTAAATGTTTTATCTATATCTTACTGTTTATTCACAAGAAATGTATCAATTGTAATATATTTATTTAAAATATAATAATTGGATGAGGAAATAATGTAAAAAAATATGCAAAGGTACTTACATTGATATTAAGTTCCACATTCTTCCATTGGCAAAATCTTGTAAACTTCTCACTAAAAACAATATATGATTTACAATAAATACAATAATATTACTGGAATAACATTTTGGAAGAAAATTAGAAAAAAAGATGCAAAAAAAAAAAAAAAAAATCAATGTTCACATGTACCACACAGTTCCTATGGCATATGCCCCCCTCCCCCACCCCTCTAGGGAAAACAGAAATTTGGACCAATTTTGGAGGTGGGTATGTACCAGAAGAATTTGAATTTCAGAAAATAATTGATGATCTTCTTATAATCTGACAAACAAATGTGTCTGACAATGCACATGTTTACATTATGTTCATGCTATTTCTTATGAGACCTTAGTAACAATATTCAAGGGGAGAACATAGTGGAAAGGTTCACTTTCAAGGATAATCAATCAAAAGGCAAATTTTCAGAACTGCATACCTACTTCAAAGACAATCTAGGATTTTTTTTTTTAAAGACCGTACATGTAGTTCCTTCGGGTATTATCCCAACCCCCCATGAACACGAAATTGGCCTGATTTTGGTAACGGGGTGGAGGGATTATACATAGGGATTCTTGTGTGCATGAACTGAACAAAAATGACGGTCGTTTTGTGGGCAGATAATTTGAACAATCGCCCTACTATTCAATAGCCTATCCAAAACTATATTCCGGTGAAGAAACCAGACTTTACTCAAGCATCAAGGAAAGAGGACACTCTAATTGTAGTTAGTAGGCCTAGGCGCCTAGTTAGGCCATATCTTGGTCTTGCCTCGCGCTAGGCCAGCCTGTGCCTAAACTTGCTTTCTTGTTTAGGGACGGACCGCAGTGTTGTCTATTTTTGGCCGCAGTTAGCGAGCTGTTTACGACAGTGAACAACAAGAATTTACAAGGATGGGCATTGTATTCAACTTTTTGGCGATCAATGTCTGGTCTAATCAATTGGAAGAGTTCTAATTCCTTTATTTATTATGAGCATTTGTTAAACTTACTGACCTATGCCTCACCCAAATTATACCCTGGGACTTTGCCCAGGGAAATGCTTGTAAGCAAAGTTGGGTCTACGGTTATCTGAGCTCATTCAAATCATACTTTGAGCTTTTCCTTTAGGAAAGGGTGTTATTGTAAATTGTTGGGTATAAAAAGGAGGGGTAGGTATACCCAAGACACTACAGTCTGCAAAAGCTCTGCATTTTATGTGACAAATTGGTGTGATTTGCCCATATATAAGTTTGATATTGACATCATAATATAACCATATTATGGGCAAATCACTCTAACTTGTCACATAATCTTTTGTCATATAACACTTCATAGTATGGACAGATCCTTTATAACATCTCAATACTTGAATCTTCTTAGAAGACTGTTGGCAAGCAAAACATCTAAAAACACACACAGTGAATGCACATCATATTAAAGGTAATCTAATTTAATAACTACCTCATTAACATAATATCTGTCAATAAGTCAGCAGTGCAAATAAAATGCATGGTACCAATGAAATCATACTATACTATTGATTTATACCTTCTTTCATATTATTTTGATAAAATGTTGTTATTTTGTAAATGAAAAAATTAAATTATAGCTTATAACTAGTTATTATTAGTTACTTAAAATTATTAGTTGTTTCTTATGTTTATTTTCAATATACAACAGAAACATTCACACTATATCACTATAGGTCTCTATATTAATAATTTATACATCTTTGTGTGAAATGTGTCTTCCATTTGTCTACTATTTATTCTCAAGTATGGCAGAAAACCATTTTTATCATTGCACAATTAATATTCTATACAGACAGATATCTCCTCTTGGTTTCTTTTTTAAATAATAATTATGATATAATATAAATAATATTAATACATCACACCACATCCTCACCCATTAGGTGCTTAAAGCAGAGTGTTTCCTCAATATTTCATTTCATATTTTGGTCATTTTTTTCATATCTTTCTGTGGCAGTGGCATTAAATATTTTTTTACCTTTCTTTTTTTAATCTTATCTTTTCATTTACTTGTTACTCTACCATCTTTTCTTTTGCTATAGCTTTCTTTACAGGTTAACTTTCCTTCATCTTCCTTTTTTCTAAATTTTGTTTAATACATAGTTGTGGCGCGTTGATATTCTAGAACTGCTGTTTTTATACTAATAAACTTAAAAACATCACCATATATAGACTATGTATAAGATTGATGATTATTCAGGGATTAGAACCAATGTTTCTTTATTTGAACACCTAGTGGCCTACTTCTTTACCACTAACATGTAAAAGCATGTACAATCATTATTAAAATAAAAACTAGTTGTTTTTCTGTATTTCGGTTGTTACAGTGTGCCAATCTAATTTAGTCCATTACTAGCATAGGCTACAGCATGTCAAAACTAATTAGTATTAGTACTTACCTCTCTAAAAATCTCTTGAAAATATCTCCGCGTAATGAATTGAGAATTTCAACAATATATGGCTGAAATTCGAAAAAGATATTTATATTCAGGAATTTGAAATACATTTAAATCTCAAACAATGAATGTGAACAATGTTGAAGCAAGCATTTAAGTTGTAAAAGCAATCTTATTTTTGAATATTTAAAACTGGGGGAAAAGGGGCGTAACCGCCCAATTTTACACCTTTTTTGCCCAGTTTTTAAATATTCAAAAATCTGTATCTCATTCATCGTTCCCCAGTTCTTTGTCAAACAACTTTTTTCTGTCTTAGAAAAATTAGATCTACAACATATCAAAAAACTTTTTTCCTTCTGAGTCTGAATTTAAAGCCATATTGCTGGATAGCATATTTTTTCACACATAGAGGATTTAATTGTTTGGATGTGAGCAACCCAAAAATTCATCTTTCACTCACCTCAAACAGGTTAGATGGTACTTCACGTTTGGTCAATTTATGTCTTACAGATTCAACTGCTTCTTCTGAGAAAGGCTGAAAAGAAAAGGAAAAAAAGTTGGTATCACATTATTTAAAATCGAGTTTTTTATTTTATGACATTTGGCAGACATCTGATGAGGAAATGGTTTTATCCTACAACCAACATATGACCAGTGGCAACGCCAGCAGAAAGTCGGGAAAGAGTTTCTCTATCACACACGTATGGATACCTTACTGTCCGATAACACTTTAGGCTGTCGGACTAAATACACAAACTTGCGAAGGGTCCTATTTCGGAAGAATTCTTTTATGGGGAATCTGTTTAAATGAGCTTTCTCTAATTTTGTTTTGCTAACTTAAGGCGATACCAATCGACACTCACGTCCATGAGACATGTGATAATAAAGGGGGTAATGCAGTAGCAAAAACATGCAGATTTAATTAATTTGTGGGAGATGGGTATTTTTCGGGAGTTGCAGGAGTGCGTCCCAATTTTCGGGAGACTCTTGCAACTTCCTGGAGACCTGGGAACCCTGTTTGCCAATCCAAGCAAAGTTATTGTACCGTAATTGCGATTACTATGATTGTTACACAAAATCACAATTTATTACTATCCATAAAATCTCTTCCCCATGACCCCACCACGTGTACTAATCAGGGAACGTGACCGGAGGTCGTGGCGTGCCCTTGCTTCCGAATCCTGTCAGACATGTATCCGGCACCTGTAAGCATTCTGGAGTCATCACTGCATCTGGTAATTCACAAACTTCATAACTACGCTGATCGCACCCCATTATCTTAATTGCTGGTTTGTTTTTGTTTTTTATTCTGATTTTTTTTTTTTTTTTTCATTTTAAATAAATTGGACATGAAGTCAATAACTGCCCTCATTGGGAATTTTATTAAGATAAATTTTAATTAATTAACATAAATATATTAAAATTTTTATTTAACATTTTATTTAATATTTATTAAACAGTAATGAAAAATGACACAAATAAGCATAATAATTATTGATAATTTTAACGATAAAAAGATTAAAAAGGTCAATTAGGTATTACGCTGGCATTCAATTATGAATGTCATCCGCCAGTTTAGGTTAATAAAAATCAGGTCATTACCAAAACTTTTAAATTGGTAGAATAATACAGGAAATTAGGACCATTAATGTGGGTGGAAGGCGTTAAAAGGTCACCAGACGGTTATCCGTCATCTCATTCACTGGCTCTCATAGTGATGTATGTGCATGTGACTCACAAAATAAACGCTTGAAATATAAAAGCTCTATAAAACAAGATTTTTGCCAATTAAAATATTTAATATAAATAATGCTAAAATATAAAGGCAAAGGGTATGTAACAACTTAAAAATTGGAATGTAGGAAATCAGGGCTCGATTTTTCATTTTTTTTTACTATAAAAACTAGGCTAGTTCAATGTAGATTTCACTAGCCCACAGGCTATTTTACTAGCCCAATCATTGGCTATACAATACTCCATATGTAGATACAATATGTTGTTTTGCCGTTCGCATTATTGGGATTTTTAGTCCACAACAGACGGGATAAGAGCTAGGCCTAGTATCAACTTGTAAAGGATAACAAAAACCACACAAAATCATCATTTGTATGTGTCTATTCCTTTACGTTTGAATAATCACTGAAATATTAAACCTGTCGCATAGGTTTATTTAGGGCAAGGAGTTGGCCACGAAACATCATGCATAGCCTAGGCCTCTCTACAATACTAGCTACAGATAAAGGTCACGTTGTTTTTGTTTTAACCGTAATTTGAAGCAGAACCTGCAAAGCGATGCAATACTAATGGAAGTATAGAAATCACTACCTTGCCGAATTAAGGCTAGTCATGCTGGACGACATTTCCTTCGTTTTTGACTTACTGTCGCCCAGAGCTTTCTAACACTTGCCACGAGGTAAACCTTTAACACACTTTACTGTGTTCTGATTTGTGCACACGTTGCTGGATTTTCGGGGTTGCCAAGGTTTATTTTCCATTGGGTTTTTCAAGTGACATTCAGTAATTTTACAATCAACGGACCTTAATTCTTCTTTATATTTATTATTTATCTTACTAAATCAAGACAACCATACAAAATATTATTTAATGAACAATCTTTTCACATGTGTGTATTTCAATTGAGGACATCATTTTTTGACAGTTAAAAGAGGTAAAATAATTGTAAATAAACAGGCTAGGCCCTAGGCTAAAATATTGAAAAAAAAATAATACAGAAGTACAAACAAGTTCCCGTCATCGCCAGCGAGTGTGGAAATGGAGACTCCCATCAAATCAAGTGTACTTTTTCCGTATTTTAAAAACCGCTCCGTAAGCTACAGCAGTCTTTTTGCACATACAAATAAACAACACACTTTTGCTTTGTAGGTTCGCTTCGTAGGCTTGCTTATATCAGGCTACAATGTATCTACGAAGCCTGCGCGCATGAAAAATTGCAATAGTTTCCGGAGGCACTGTAGGCTTTGTTCACTAGCCCACCGGGCAAAAAGGAAGGGAGGTTGACTTGCCCGGAGTAGTTTTTACCAGCCATTGTATGCCGGGCTAGTAAAAAATCAAGCCCTGAACATACAGGTTATAGTCAAGAAGATCAGTAGGAAGAACATTTGGGAAGTTAAAATTACAGATAAAACTCCACAAAGTCATTATTAATGTTAGCCATCTTTCAATGAAAGGCAAAGACCCATCAGATAGACACCCCTATCTTACTTGTAAGACTCTCAATAACTCCAGCCTCATTTACTTTTCTACTCCCTCCCCCATCCAAATGCCTATGACTTTAAGGAAGTAAAGTTGTGTCGGGGCTTTTATCGCTTCAATTAGACACAAAAAGTACAACGGGAAATGTCTAGACTACATTCATTGGTTTTTCAAGACTGACATTGAGCATATCATGTAACACAAAAGAAAAAATGAATGTCATAGAATGTCATAGTATCTTGCCCTTCTTACGTTTTTATTCTTACCTTTCATTTCAAACAGGAAATTGAAGGTGGAACTTAAACTTCAATTCTAATGTAAACTTAATAGACAATTTACGCACCCCCACTTGACACCTAAACCATAAGACTTGGAGTGGAATTGTTTTTGGTCCTGTTACTTTAATACAAATTGAAGCCATGATTCTGAAATTGGATGGCAAGAATCCTAGGGAATGAAGAAATGGATGGTGACTGGTAACCTCAAGTACTGTATGTTCTCTTCTGAGACAGCATTAAAGCAATTAAACTCACTTATACAAGATTCAGATTCAAATATTGATGTTTGAGGGGAGATGGATGCAAGATTCTACAGAGTTTTTCAATCTTTAGAATGAAGATTTCAGAAAATTTGTTGGCAAGTGATTTAGGGTTGTTATAAATAGAAAGAGGGTTGGAGATGGTAGCTGGTGCTAATTTGTCAACAACCCGAAACAAACCGCATTCACCACATCTTGAGATTTTTTTTCCTTTATAATAATTATGTGTCTTAGCCTCAAAGAGATATTAATATATTAAGTACACTGATTTTGATCAAGTACTTTATATTTATTTGTCAGACTTTACAATTTTTGATCATACAATGTCTGATGAAGAAGAACGTTGTCCGCCTCCCAACTGACATGGAAACGACTCATGATTTGTAGGCTTAAGTCTGTAAACCAGACGTTATCTGACAAAGATTGATCAAACAAAACAAAATAAAATCTGATTTCATTGTTGTTCTTGCCTAAGTCTTGACAAAAGCTTAAGGAAAAGAGCTTTAAGCTTTTGGAAGTGGGGTTTGAGCCTTTGGGAAAGGGGTTTAAGCCTTAGGGAGAGGAGTTTAAGCAGTTTAAAGAGAGGGGGTTTAACCATGTATCTGAGAATCAGAATGCAAAACTTCAAAGCTTTTCCATTTCCCAAAACTGAAAAACTATTGGGACATTGATGACATCAAAACAGAAATACAACGCGATTGCATTCGGTGTCTTTATCACTCCAGTAATGTATCTTTGGATCTGTTTTGCCCCCAGGGGGATACCCAGTGCATTGATGGTATTTGATGATGAAATGAACACTAAGTTTCCTTGTTGACAACAAAAGGATGCAATTGCTAACCTTTTAACTTTAACAATAAGCTGATGGTAAATCTGGAATTTGCCTAAGTGATATTCACAAACCTCCCACCAGCTCTGAAATGATGGCTGGTATTTTAACTACTGTATCACAATGCATAAATGCTTCTGATTACTATTGGCTATTAATGCCAATGACATAATTGACACAATTCCTGAGAATGCTATGGGGTTGTCTTGGGAATTTTAACTCATAACCATGAGTTTCCTGATGATGAGGCGAAGTTCTAAGAAAATCCCTAACCAATGATTAACATCAATATTGGCGCGGATGTTCATAGACTTCAGGCGGCCAGAAGGTTGGTGAATGTTATCGACAAAGGACCCTTCATACCGCTCAAGCATTCTTCTTCCGAGACTCAATATATATTATAAACAAATACAGTAATAAGATGATAGACATTTATCAATTAACAGAGCTAAGACAATGTTTATGATATTAATTAAGCATTTCTAGGTGATGCTAATGATTGATCACTACATTTCTTTTTATTAATTAGTTTTAGGTGTCACGGATGACAATGACAATGATTATGACAGTTATGATGATGACAATGATAATGATGATAACAATGATGTTAATTATGATAATATTGACATAATGATATTCTAGATGATGATGATAATATGATATATACATGATGATAATATGATATATACATGATAATAGATGATGATGATAATGATGATGATGATAATAATAATTATATGAAGAATATGAAAATTATGATGATATGATGATGATGATGATGATGGTGGTTGTTGTGGCATGATGATGATAGACATAATATCAATGCAAGAATTCATTAAACAAATTACAATTCTCATACACATCAGCACATATCAACTCATTATTAATTATCCCAACAGATAATTACTACAGACATGTTCACACAACAATAAGAGAACACTATCCAATAAAGAAC